TGACTAGATATATGTACACTGAAAATATAAGAAAATATTGATTTTACTGTGTTATGATGTACACTACGGAAGCCCATAGAGGACCTACAAAAAATAATATTATATCGGTTATCTCAATATATATATCGTTATTTCGATATAATTAAACCGTTATCTCGATATATTTATATCGTTATCTCAATATTTATATCGTTATATCGATATATTTATTTCGTTATCTCGATATAATTATTTCGTTATATTGATATAATTAAATCGTTATCTCGATATAATTATATCGTTTTCTCGATATAATTATATCGTTTTCTCGATATAATTATGTCGTTAACTCGATATCATTATATAGCTAAGGTGGAGTTATGGCACCTTTTTGCAAATAACCCAAAAACTTATACAGATATCAAAATCTAGCAGAGAGTAAAATTGATCAGTACATTATGATTTGCCTCTGCCGAAATTTAAGTTCAGGTTGATCGGAAAATTCGTTTCAGAGCTATGGCCTTTTATTTGCAAATTTTCACATTTTTTTTATAATTTTGACAATATTTTGAAAAGCTAGAGCCTTTTTTATTATTATTATTCCAAAATATTTCCTGTTTGCAATTATCTTAGTCGTCCAGGTAACAGATTAAGGTTCCAAGTTGACAAAAATGCCATCTATACAGGGGCAATAGAAAGCTAACAAAGTCCATTTTAACCTTTATTTAGCATTAAGTTTTAAACGTCTTAGGCCCCGGCGCTTGAACTAGTATACATATCTTTAATATACACGAGGTTGTAATAAATGAGATGTAGTAAGAGAATTAATAAGACAACTCTTTCCTGGGACAAATTGGCGTTATTGTAATAAAAAAAATGTACACAGGAAAATATAAATATAATGGTTTTGTCGTTAGGAGTTATTATAACTGTCAATTGATCCTCCAGTGGGTAATTAGCAAACGCTCCCCGATAGTTGTCCGACCTCGTGTATATTACAGATATATATACGCGTCAGCTACAGATTGATACAAAACTTTAACGACATTACATTTTTGCACCGGCAGTTTGATCGGCTTCCCTGGTCTGTCGCTTTCTTCTTTTCGTCCTGATTATGCATGAAATATTTGCGACTGGACGTTAAGCAAACATCAATCAATGTAAACAGAAATTGACATATCAAGCAAGCGGATCAAACTGCCTGCGCAAAAAAATAAGCCTGTTTAATGTCTTTCAAGGTTTGGCATCCATCTGAAGCGCGCGAAATGAAGAATGTTCGATTAATCCCCCAGTGGTGTTAGCCGGCGCTGACCGATAGTTGTCCGACCTCGGTAAATAGGTTCAAATTATGAGATGTTTCATTGCATAACTTTTTTATTATTACATGTAAAATGTCGGTTTATGGCTCGTTTTTAAGGAAAATGGAATATACCTTTGAAAATTTTAAAATGTTGATCCAGACAATTTAATTGAGGTCTGGAGCTGGCATGTCAGTAACTGCTAGTATTCCTTTGTTAGTTTATATATCATTGTCATTTTGTTTAGTTTCATTTGTTACCTATTCTGACATCGGACTGGACTTCTTTTAAACTGTGTATTACTGTGCGTATTACTGTGTGTTTGTTTTTTCTACATTGGCTAAAGGTATAGGGGGAGGGTTGAGAACTCACAAAACATCGTTTAACCCTGCCGCATTTTTGCGCCTGTCCCAATTCAGGAGACTCTGGCCTTTGCTAGTCTTGTATGATTTTTAATTTAAGTTTCTTTTGTATATTTCGGAGTTTAGTATGACGTCCATTATCACTGAACTAGTATGCATTTTTGTTTAGGGGCCAGCTGAAGCACTCCTCCTGGTGCGGGATTTTCTCGCTGTATTGAAGACACATTGGTGGCCTTCAGTTGTTTTCTGCTCTTTGGTCGGGTTGATGTATCTTTGATACATTCTCCATTTCCATTTTCAATTTAATTATACATAAATAAAATACAACGGAAAACAAAGACCGTATTCTTGATTTGTCGAGTTACTGACCTTGTGTATATTATAAAATAAAAAAAAATTTCAAGCAAACCTGGTGCCTTTAGTTTTCAACAAATAAGCAAAAATATGTGAAAATCTGCAAATTTGGGTATTTGAAGAGAAGCAAAATCTGAAAGTTTTGCCCACAAGACTTTATTGTAGCTCTTAATGATCTGAACAATTTCCAATTTAAACTAAGGCTCAAGCTTTTAATCTAAAATTTGAATTGAATGGATTTGATTTGATCGATAAAAACAAATTAGAAACAGTAATTTTGAAAATATATATACATATACAACACTGCATATATTTATATACTTCTTTTCGAGTAAGAAATACATTTCGCCTAAATTTTGAAAATAACTGTTTCTATATTTCCATATCTACTACCAATGAAAGCCTTTATGTAATTATCATGCATTTATATTTTTTTGATATTGTATGCTCTTATCATTATGCATAGGGAACTATGTATTTCTTTTAAACTCAATGTTAAATAAAGGTTAAAGTGGACTTTGCTAGCTTTCTATTGCTCCTGGATAGATGACATTTCTGTAAACAGGGAACCTTAGTCTGCTACCTAGAGGAGTAAGATAATTGTAAACAGGAAATACTTTGGAATATTGATGAAAAACTAAAAAAGGCTCTAGCTTTTACGACTTTAATTCAAGATATTGTCAAAACTAAGATGAAGATTTGAGGCCCATAGCTCTTTAATAAGTTTTCGGATCAACATAACTTAAATTTTGGCAGATACAGCTCATTATGTACTAATCAATTTTACCCTCTACTAGAATTTTGATATATGTATAAGTTTTTGAGTGATTTGCAAAAAGGTGCAATAACCCCACCCCACCTTAACTATATAAATATCGAGATAAAGATTTAATTATATCGAGATAACGATATAATCATATAGAGATAATGAAATAAATATATGGAGATAACGATATAATTTATCGATATAACGATATAAATATCGAGATAACGATATAACTATATCGAGATAACGAAATAAATATATGGAGATAACGATATACTTATATCGAGACAACGAAATAAATATATCGATTTAACGATATAAATATCGAGATAACGATATAAATATATCGAGATAACGATTTGATTATATCGAAATAACGATATATATATATTGAGATAACGATATAATATTATTTTTTTGTAGGTCCCCTATGGGCTTCCGTAGTACGGTACACATACTTGTTTGGTTGTTACAGACGGTTCTGAGTGTAAATAGCCAAAATGATCAGTACGAAAAGATATATCTACCCTGGAAGCTACCAGACTTATCGGGAAAATGTTTTAAAGTTAATGCTTACGACATATCGTCAGTTTTATGGGGGATATTATTATGAAAACCATGGAAGCAAGTTAAAAATAAAATTTACGAAAATAATCTGCAAAACAATATCTTATCTAGGAACTGTGAAAATTTAAGAAAAAAATGTGCAAACGCTTTTTGGGGCTTTTGTTCCAATCGTTTTTTCTTCTTTCTCGATTTCATCAATTTTCTGCACATATCAAAAAAATAAGTTTTCTGTTTATTCTCTTTTTTCAAATACTATTAGCAATAGGTCAGGTATATTTGTTGTATGGAATAATTGTAAGGTGTACATGTCTGTTTGACAGGATTTATCTGACCTTGACCTTATTGATATGGTTCATTGGTCAATGTTAAGGTTTTGTGTTCTAGTCTGTTTTGTTAATTACCATAAGCAATAGGTCAACTTTATTTGGTGTATGGAATAATTGCAAGGTTAACATTTCTGTTTTCATTATTCTGCAACTCAGTAAGGTATGGAATAATTTACCATTCACAAAAAAAAAAAAATTCGAGAAAAGTCTATCACAAGTCAAATAATTTTTCTTTTATGGTTAAAATATGAAACCTTTATTAATTGTTGCCATTATTCCATACACTGTAGTACACATACTTGTTTGGTTGTTACAGACGGTTCTGAGTGTAAATAGCCAAAATGATCAGTAATTTTTCTTTTATGGTTAAAATTTAAAATGTTTAAAATTGAGAATGGAAATGGGGAATGTGTCAAAGAGACAACAACCCGATCCAAAGAGCAGACAACAGCCCAATGCCACCAATGGTTCTTCGGGCTTCAGCTGGCCCCTAAAAAAATGTGTACTAGTTCAGTAAAAAATGTCACACTTACATGTGTAACTCCGAAACATATAAATGAACTAAGATTAAAAAAGCATATAAGACTAAGGCCACTGAGAGGCAGAGGCTCCTGACTTGGGACAGGTGCATTTATGCGGCGGGGTTAAAGTTAAACATGTTTTGTGAGATCTCAACCCTCCCCCTATACTTCTAGCAAATGTAGAATAAACAAACACAGAAATACACACAGTAAAACTCAGTTTAAAAAAGTCCGAGTCCGATGTCAGAATAGGTAACAGAAGAAACTAAGCAAAATGACAATGATAACATAAATTAACAAAAGACTACTAGCAGTTACTGAGATGTCAGCTCTACACCTCTGTCTGGTTTGAGAATAAATGTGTTTATTTCCATTAATTCCAAAATATGCCATCTTTAATGACAACATTATTGTAACTATATCCCTTCTGAATAAGTTTGTTTAAAGGTTTGGTTAGCTTTTGAGGTTTGTGCTTTAAATAGAATAATATCGTATCAAAAACCCATTAAATAGGTGGAAATATTACAAAATATTCCCTAAAAAGCAAACACAAACAAAAAAAATAGAAAAAGGGGGGATCATTCCACATGCGCCTGTGAAAATATTATACTCGTTAAAAATTATTTTTGGACACACTGCAAAATGAGAATGACACACGTTTGCTTATTGCCTCAAGTTGAATGCGTTTATTTTTCATTTTTTTCTTTTCAATAATTGATTTATGACATTTAATCAACACAATTTAATACTTGTTGACACAATTCCTATGACAACTTTATTTATCGAAGCGTGTCATTAATTTCAGCCAATCACTAATCAGTAATTTCTACAGTCCGTGATAAATGTTGAACTTCCGATGTATTTTGACCATAATCGTTTCTCATCACTTTCTCCTTTATAGAAATGGTAGATTATACTTATTCAGATGATGGAATGCCAATTCCAAAACACACTGGAGCTTTCGCGAACCCATTTGCCTCAGAAGAAGATGTGACAAATATTTTTGATATTCGCGAAGACGGGTTTGATGTGACCCTTTCATTGGCAAATGGAAACATCAGCTGGGTCAGTGTCAGCGGCAATAAGGGTATGTTATTTCAAGACAACACCCTTTAAGTTATCAATGTAAAACACATTCAGAATGTTGAATGTGTGCAGTACCAAATATAAGAAAAACACACACAATCGCATGCGAAATCCTTTCTTTTAAATTCTTGGCTGGAAAATATATTTTCAATAATACAGTAAAACCAAATGACTGAAATGTTTTAATTTAACTCTTTTCAGCGGTCACCTAATTTTTGCACGAAATCATCATTTCAACTTTTAACAACAGTCATATTAATGGTTTTAACTAACTAAATAATCATAACGAAAAATATATGTGTTCAGTATCAAAGTCAAAATGAAAATTGAAACCTGTTTGCAACAGAGATCGAGCAGTAGGAGGTGCATAAGTGATTTCCTTGTGTTCACACCTTTACATTTCCATTAAAAATCATATTATCGACTTATTTCTCCACGAATACATACATATTTTAATTGTTTTCTACAAATTTACAGCGCTGGAATCCGCCATTTATTTTTATTTCACTGACGCAAGAAAGATATCTCTACCAATTGAAAACACTATTACAATTTGCCCGAAACCCTGTCCGCGGATGATGTCGGAACCTTGTTTAAAAGGTCATCTCTCTTGAGCAGCCACTTTTGATACTTCCCAAGAGTGACTGCTTAAGACAAGTTTGACTGTAGTCCCTCTATTATCCAAACAATTATCCAGTGGCATAGCTTACTCCCTAGGCAAACGATTGAAGCTTTGGAGTTAAGATATCAGCGCAACATAAGATTGCGATGGGTCTTAAAGAGTTGTTGGTTTATAGACGAAACTTACGTCGCAAAAGAGTTTTCAGCATTTGCAGATGCCTAAAGTCAATTTTTATACAGGTGTGATCGATTGATAGTTGTTTGATAAACTTCTTAGGAAAAATATTCCATGCATAATCACTCAAGGAGAACAAATTTACAAAATGGGTCGACTAGTTTAGGATGAAGGACGGGAGTTTCTACTGTTACTGAATAAGGAGGAAATAATGTAGACAGTGGCAGTACTTTGACCTTGCAATAGCTCACCTACGACCCCTGAAAAAGTGGTTGCAAGTGTGCTTTAACGTGACACTCTCCCTACAAGATGCATTACATGTAACATCCCCATTTTGACCGGACAAGGATGTGTATTTATACATCCATCACACACAGCCAAACGGACTCCCTTCTAAAGCATGGGTTTTACTTTCAAATACATGGGAGAAATCAGGGATTGTCATATTTCATTCCTTCTTTATTTCCTGTATTGGTATGAGGCACACTTCATAGTTCTTCCCATTATAATACATATTACACATATTCCAGTTTATTAATACAAAAATATAAAGGGTAGAGTTGTCGAATGCTTGTAACCATATTCACTTTATTTTGGAATAAACTTGTCTCTATTTAATCTTCTTGAAACTTCTTTGTTCAAAAGTTTGTTGAGGCAGTTGCCTCACTGCCTGAATGGACTGTAAATCATCATTTCTTTTCATAAAAATTCCACGGAAATAAGTCATTAAAATATTATGTACATGTACACAGGGAGTTCACAGGTATTTACAAACAAAATGTATAAACATATCTATTACTACCTTTATTATAAAATAAATGAACTGCAAAGAAGAGGGCAAATTTTGAAAGAGTAAAAATGATAATTAAAATGCATACAAGTAAAGAAACTATAAAAGTGTATACTAGTACTTCCAATTTATTTACCGGTATATTTTCATTTTTTCATGATTGAATTGCAGGTGTGAGATCAAAGGGACTTTTTAAAAAGAAAAAGGGTGTTGCTGAGGAGGTTTTACCTCTCGAGGATATTCTAGGTGTAAAGATAAAACGTCGTAAAACAACAGCACAACATGAAGGAGAGGGCATGTGTCAAGGTTTTACTATTTATGCCTTTCAAGTCTTTGGTCCAAATAATTTAAAGGAAAGAATTATAGAACTGGAACATCCAAGTGAAAAAATTTGTAAAGAATATTGTGAGAAAATAACAGATTATTTAGATGGTAAGAATTACAGAAAATCAGGATTTTATAATTCAAAAGTTTATTTTGCAAGTATTTAGTAGAAAGACACAACAGACAGAGTATATCTGGAACTTTTCAGTAATGGTCATGGGTAAAAACACTTTAAATGAAAGAGAGAGTTGACTTCTTCCTAGCATTCAAAAAGGGAGAAATCATGACATCCTGGGGAGACTTAAATTATGACACCTTAGGTTAAAGGGATGGACACCAAATGTGTTTTTGATTTAGCATATATATTCCTTAAAAATCCCTTATAAATTTGATACTTGTGATGTCCCAGATATTTAAGAGATACATATAGCTGACAATTATGCTTGTTTTGCAGTCTTTATAATTTCCTTGGAGTTTGGTATTGTTGTAAGCCAGTGTAAGGTTATAACATAAATATTTTACTTGGAGGATAATTTGTTGTCTTTTGATCATGAGCAGTATATATATTCACATAGTTTGTCTGATCTGTAGTTTCTTTTTGAAAAATAGCAGCTGACAAATTCAACTGAGCACACAGGTAATTATCAATTGTTGATGCACAACTAGAAAGGGAAAATATATTTATACTGCAATAAATGCATCAAACATTTTTAGGGATGATTTTAATCACAGTTTAATGCAGTGATATATTTATTTCCCTGAAAATCGAAATAGTACCCTAATGAACAAAACAAAGCATATTTTGATCATAAAGTTGTCAAAATTGTACGGTGACATAAACAGTTTTTATTGAACATGTAGAGTAACACAAACTGCCTGAATGCTATGAATCCTATCATTTTTAGATAGCTCAGTACTCCATCTTCAATCATTCTTTAGCTGATACATGTATTCGGCTGTTGTCTGCTCTTTGGTCGGGTTGTTGTCTCTTTGACATATTCCCCATTTCCATTCTCAAATTTATTGCCAATAAAAACAACTCCAAACTGAATCCATTACAAAAATTTGAATTTTACACAAGTATTTTGCACTTCAAGCTTAATAAGACTTACAGGTTAAAGATTTCTGTTTCATTTTCAGCAATAAAAGATCGACCTAAATCAATGAAGTTATATATACAAAGTCATGCAGGACCACATAACAGTAATAATATCTACAAACAGAAAATACAGCATCTGTTTGAAGCAGCTAATTTAATTGTAGATTCTACAGGTATATGTTACATCATTTTAATAAGTAATAACAATTGTTTATACAGCTGAATTTAACTTGTGGCACAAAAGCTTGAAGTGTTATCATAATTTTTGCTTTGAAATTAGTAAAATGGGACAATGCTCTGCAGGGTGGATTTCCAATAAAAAAAAATTAGCTTAAAATATATTTCTTTCGTTATTTCTGTTTAAGAACAATTATAAGGCTGGGAATTTAAAGCTACCAAAGTCCACTCATATTAAGTTTAGTTTCATGCTCCTTAACGAATATATATATTTTGAAAATGATGACCCAAATGCATGCTGGAAGCATAGAAATCAAGTTTCTAATGTAAGAGAGTTATTTATGGACAATTTATTCTTGGACCAGTTCTGTTACATTTGAATGCGTACATTTCATGTTTTTTTTCTTCACAGAGATACAGCATAATGAATATGTGAAACAGGAAATGATACATCTAGAATTAGATCAGTATGATTGGTAAGTTGTGACTTTTAACCTTTATAGTGTAAAGAAGAAATGTGTTTGGAACATTCTTATAGATACACATCACTACATAGTTTGAAAATGGAATTACGGTAGTTTATACATAATTTTGAGCTATTATAATCAATGGTATAACAAGCAGGCGGAAACCCAGTTGAAATAGAACAAAAGAATCGAAGCTCTTTGTTAGAGAAGGCGATAAATGCGTACTGTAATGTTTACTGTAGTAACATAAATTTTAAAAGTTAATAGAAACAAATAAAATGACAGTTTTTTGCTAAATTACGAAATATTTTATCATAAAAACACAATTTGCATAAGTTTTCAATTTATCTATTACATAATTAAGCAGAACAATTAGATATCAAGTCGACGACATGGGTGTCTATTAAGTTGGATCTAAAAAATGCATAACCTCTGATTTTTAAAAAAAATTACCACGGACGGAAGACATATCAATCTATTTGTTCCTTAATTTTCGTTTCTGCCCTTCCATTATGTGACTCAAGAAAAAATTCCAAAAAATGGGCAACAATTGCATCGAAAAGAGAAAATCGAGTGCACCTTTTTATGTTAGGGCGTGTTTGAGTTGAATATTTTGTCTTGAAAACGTAAAAAGCAAAAGTATTTGATACATCATCTCGCTTCAGATTCTATCATTTTTATATATCAAGGCTACAGGTTGACTTTATAACATCGAAAATTCACAGTACTAAAAAAATGAAATATATAGGTCAAGTGAAATACCTTTCTAATGAATCATAAAAGCAGAGTAGGTGTGTTCGAATAGCAAATTTTTACTAAAAGTTGATGACAGACTTTTAAGTTGGATCTTAAAAATGCATATCTTCGAAAAAACTTCATTTTTTGTGTGTGATATCTAGGGTTTATAGTCTTCAACCACTGAAAATTTTTAGTCTGCCCTTCCACGAAATATTGAATTAGAATTTTTTTAAATGTTTATGAATTTTCGAAAATTCCACCTGACAACCGATCAGACAATAGTTTTAAGTTGACTGAATGCAGACAAGTACACTAACTGATGTTCGTTAGCTAGTAGATACATTTGTCTTTTAAAATACAACTGGCATATAAGGATCGTAATGGTGCTATGCGGATAAATTTATCGGTTTTCAAGAGCTAAATTGGCAGCGCGTCATCCCTACAATGGCTTCCATTTTTACGATTGTAAAAATGAACTGGCGTAATGGGGAGATAATTTTGACGAAGTAGAATCCTGACTGCAAGGAGACCATGTAAACATATTTTTATAGGAAATTTTGTTGTCTAATGCTTTTTATAAAGTAATATTTCTTTTATAGTATTTGTTGTGTTGGTGGAGATGGTACTGTTAGTAAATTGACCACAGCATTATTAAATAAAATCCAAGCTAATAAACATATAGATCTCAAAAATGGATTGACGCCAGCAAGATGTCATATTCCATTGGGAATTATCCCAACAGGTGGGTAATAAACAGACCAGACCAATGTATTCACTCCCAAAAAGATTATATCTAAGATTGTATTGTATTGTCCTCCAGTGAAATTTACTTCAGATTTTTCAAAGGTCAAAGTTATAGCATCAGTTAATAGATTGAAATTTGGGCAAATCGTTTCACCTACCATTTGACAATAATTGTCAGCAGACTTTACAGCTCAAATGTACTCAACAAAAAATGTTTATTTTGCTACAGACCTATAAAGATTGTAACTCTGCTTATGCACCTATGGTGCTTCTGTGATTGCCACTGTGCAATGTGTTGCAGGGAATATAGTAATACAGGGCATTCATTCTGTGCATCTTTCCAGATTCATAAGTGCACTCATGTGTACAATACTTGCAAAATTTTCAACAAATTTAATTTGATCAATTAGAACTCTGTTTTATTATTATTTTTAAAAAATTGTAAAAGTGAATTATATTATTATCATTTTTTTTTGTCATGTGAATTTCTCACTTATAATGAGTATAAATAGGATAACTATATTTGGTATATGGGTTCCTTGCAACGTCTGCATGTCCGTCGGTTAACCTGACCACGACCTCAATTCATGGATCAGTGATCAAGGTTATAGTTACGTGATTAGGTCCATTTCTCAGATACTACAAGCAGCAGGTCAACTATATATATATGTGGTGTATGGAATGATTGTAAAGGGTACATGTCAGATTGGCAGGTTTCATCTGACCTTGACCTCATTTTCATGGTTCGTTGGTCATTGTTAATTTTTAGTGTTTTGGTCTGTTTTTTTAAGTACTGTAAGCAATAGGTCAACTATATTTGGTGTATGGAATGATTGTAAGGTGTACATGTCTGTCTAGCCAGTATCATCTGATCTTGACCTCATTTTCATGGTTCATTGGTTAACGTTAAGTTTTTGTGTTTTGGTCTGTTTTTCAATTACCATAAGCAATGGTTCAACTATATTTGGTGTATGGAATAATTGTAAGGTGTACATGTCTGTGTGACAGTTTTTATCTGACCTTGACCTCATTGTCCTTTAAAATGTTAAGTTTATGTGATACTTGTAGTAAAACCTTTATCTTTACGACTTTCAACATAAAATCAATGGTCAGTAAAACAGGTGAGACATTTCAGCATGTGCACTCTTGTTTAGTAATAAGGTATCTAGAAGGATAATATTCATATGTTTACTAGTTCTGTTCAATCATCATTATCTCTAATCATATAAGATCATACAACATTTCTTTTTTCACTGACATAATTTGAAAATTAATGAAATGAAATTTTTATCTTGTAAATAATAACTTTTGGGAACAGTATTTTTTTTATTGATGGTGAAATTAATTGTAATTTTCAGGAACCACAAATCAGGCAGCTAAATCAGTATTAGGTCAGTTAGATCCAGTCAGTGCTGCAATTAATATAATACTAGGTAAGTTGTCATATTAAGGTCAAATACAATATTTTTTCTTCATAAAAACAAATGGTCTGAATTAAATCAAAGTTTAAAAGTTACTCCATTTTATCAGCAAACTTTCTTGTTTTTTATTCTTTTGAAAACTTTTTGTGTAAATCTTTTGAACAACAGTGGGGGTAAAACAGCTTAGAAAAAAAAGTTCAAGCATTTTTACATAAAGATTTAATTCAATAGCTTTTGTACCTGTAAGTGCTGCATGTGTCATTGTTTGAAACATTTAGTTTATTATATTTTTATGGCCCTGCCACAAAGTGGTTGGGGCCATATAGTTTTACTCTTATCCGTTATTCCTATTTGAACAGTTCTACAGACTTTTTCTACTCACCTTCACATATTGAGCTGAATTTTTGTATGTGAATCTACTATGATAAGTTATAGATCAAGTTTATATTTGTTTCAGCTCTGCTGATTTTTGCTGAAATAACAGTCTGGACTTTTGTGAAAAAAACAGTTATACAGACTTTCATTTTCAAATTTCTACTTCTAAAAATGGCTTCAAGCTTTTTTTGAGAGCGGGGCCATTCGTGTTGTTCCAATACATCTAGTTTTATTAATACCTGGAAACTTCTGTTAGATATGAAAGGGCCCATATGAAAGAATATAAATATTAACTTCTTTTGGTATAAGCAGCACAGTTTTCCCCATTATTCTGCCATATTCATTTGGATAGCTGAAAGTTATGATGATATATCCGATAAAAAAAATACATTCCAAAATTTCAGTAGTTTTGATATGACTTTTAATGTTTTGTTAGACAATAATCATTTATGTCCCAGATAAAATGCAAAACATCTAAGATCTCTTTTCTTTTTCTAAAAAAGTTCATCGCAAGATACCAAGACCTTGTTGATAAATATTCTGTATCAACTTCACAAATTATACAGGATGGTCTTGAAGTATAGATTCTAGGTACTGACGTTGTTTATCATCTTAATTACATGTTATAGTGTTCTTTTCATTTGCTTTGTATATTTTTACCCTTTACTGTTTAGTCCATTTTTGATAATATCCTTTTGGCGTGGCTCCATATTTATACATCCTGCCATTGTGTTATTGTGCTATGGCCATTTTTTGTATTTTTGTCTTTCATTTTTTCTTATGTGCTTGTCTATAGAGTGTCTATATGCCATTCTTGTTTTTCTTTGTTGATATAGTTGTTTGTTTTTATAGCGATTAAGATTATAACACAATGTTGAATGCTGTACCACAATTTTGGGCATTTTTACCTATTATGTCTGTTTGTTTTACTCACACATTGTTGTCAATATAATGGAATTATATGCAACTGTCATACAAGTGAGAGGTTTAGCTAGCTATAAAGCCAGGTTTAATCCTCCATTTTTCTACATCAGGAAATGCCTGTACCAAGTCAGGAATATGACAGTTTGTTTTCCATTCGTTTGATGTGTTTGAGCTTTTGATTTTGCCATTGGATAAGGGACTTTCCGTTTTGAATTTTCCTTGGAGTTTGGTACATTGGTAACTATTCTAATTGACAGGATACAAAAAAGTTAAATTCACGACCTTGAAAATACATCATTTCCCCCTTCTCTGGCTATAAATAAAGAGGTAATAAGACAGATTACATGTTTATTAACATATTAACAAGTCTCATAAGGGAGACTGAACATTGACTACATAGGCATGATGGGTATTTTTGTTATTTTACTTTTTATTGATCCTGATGTTAAAATGATTTCATGCCAAAAAAATATGTATAAGTCTATGATTTTTTTTTTTATAAATTATCTACCCTAGTTTTTTGTAAACAAATTAAACAACTTTAGCAAGACTGTCTACTCAGAAAAAACTCGTATCATTTCCAGTTTTAATTAGATACCTTGAAAACATGTTGATTATAAATGAATCATAGTAAGATTGAAAATCTGATTTTTCATTACAGGTAGAACAGCTGCTGTAGATGTTGTCTCAATTTTCCACAAAGATAAATTTTTACAATGGGGTTTTATATGCCAGTATGGCTTTGCTGGAAATGTTCTCAAATTAGCCAAAAAATATAACCGTGTAGGACTTGGTAGTAAAGGATTAGATGCAGCAGTAGTTAAAGCACTTAGTAAATCTAAATTCAGGTAGGTTTTATAATTGTACAAATTTGGATGATATCTAAAGAATGCACATTTCACTGTTTAGGACTGCATAGTATCATCGATTATCACATATTTGTTAAAAAAAAACATTTGGTTTTGCATATATAATAACCATAAAGTTGCCCTAGTCATACGTCCTCATGCTAATAACTCGGTATCATACACTGTATAAAATAAGTGCAAAATATGTAACAGCCTTCTTCCAGTTAAGAGAGCCATGTACAATTTGAAAGTTTTATTTTTGTTTGAAAATGACTTGGTTGCTTATAACACTGTAAATGCTTTAACAAAATTTCCTCTCCAATAAATATTTTGACCTCATTGCTAGAAACAATTTGTCTTTTTTGAAAGTTGGAGAAGATATGGTTATATAGAAATATTGAAAATTTTAAACAATGTAAAAAAAATTAAAATGTTTTGTCTTCTGTTTAGTCTTGCAAGCTAATCCCTGAAACAAGAAGTCTTTAATTCTTACTCCTGGAGTAATGGAAACTATAAGATTTTCAATTTAATATATATGGTCTTATGAACTTATTGAAAATTTAGTTATTAGATTTGACACAACTCATTAGCTACACTAATTTCATTTGCTTTACATAACAGAATGTATGAATGTGATATAGAATATCTCCCTGCAGACCCTCTACCTGTTGAACAGAATTATAATGTATGTCGTACAGGGTAAGTATTAGCATTCAAAGGAAAATAATGTGTGTGAATTTTTTATGAGATGGACTGAATTTGAATGTTTTTCGTAGTTTACATGTTAATTTTGTGATTAGATCAGTTTAGTAGGAACCACTAATGTTAAGTCAATGATAGTACTAGCATTTGCAAGTCTTCTTTTCCATGGAGATTATTTGGCCCCACCCCTATCAAGGTTCATTGACTTAGAAACTATTACATTTTTACAAGTTAAAATTTGTGTTTAGGGAACCACTTATGATGTCAATGGTATTTGGTATGCAGTTTAATAAGCATTGGGCCAAAAATAAAATATTGTTTGTTTCCCCTGCCACGACCCACCCGATAAAATCACTGCGACCCGAAAATTTTTATTGGCCTTTCAGGTCCAATATTTTATTTTTTTTTTTTTTCGCTATTTTGGATTTTGGTGATAATTTCCTATGATGTAGTCTTCGAGCGTTTTAATTCAAGGACATTTTTGCATTGAAGCGTCTAAATGATCCGGAATCAAGAAAAACAAACAAAATGGCTGGTCACACGATTTGTGTGTCTGCAAGGGTGATCAATGTGGCAAATTTTTAAAGTACATTAACATATAAAACTTTTATTTAGAATTAAGAAAAAAATGGTTTAGAAAATATTAAATGATATATATATATAAATCTGTATTGAATAGAAATATGCCTTGGCATTAGATAAAAATTCTCTGAAACTGAACAATACAATCCAATTAATTTGCAGCAGAACAATTCAATGATGTGGTATCTTTAATAAAAAAAACTGAAGCATCTTTCAACCCACTGAGTGCATCTTGATTTGCTTGGTCTTTAACCTCTGTTCCTGTATAAAGGATAAAATTGTTTATATCTTTTGAGTAAAAATGGTCTGAATCATGCTTTAAAATCTATCTACTTTGAATTTTGTACAAATTCAATATAGAGGAATAAAATAAAATAATTTGCCTACCTACCTACCAATATCCCGAAAACCTCAGCCTGGAAGGGGAAACAAAGATATTTTTAATGTTGGCCTTGGCATTTCTCATATCCATTGAGATTATTTGGTCCTGCACCTTAAGTCATAGTTCATTGACTTTGAATGTTTTGCACAGTTTATATGTTTAGATATTGCCATTTGGATTCAATATTTGCAATATAAACAGATCATATTTGTTTTATCAAAAATTTAACCTCATAGTTTATATCACTTTGCAACTTGTTTTGTAAGTGGATTTAATTTTGCATAATGTTGTATCTTTTCACAGTTAAAACCTCTCTGGGACATGCATATGTAAATTATGTCTAGATTTACATGTTAACATTGAGATTACTTGAAGAAGAGACAAACTTTAAGACTTTACATATAATTTAAAGAATTAGAAAGAATACAATTCTTAACCTTATTTGATTTATTTTGTATTTAACCAGATGTGATGTGTGTGTACCTATAGATGCCAGTAAGCAAGATGACAATACATCTGATGTAGTTGAGGAATGCATAGTACAACCATTTAATTCTAGTAGCAATAGTAATGATTTTAATAGTAAGTATCGCAGGAACTAATTCTAGTAATAAAAGTACAGATTTTAATAGTAAGTATCTCAGGAACTCATTCTAGTAATAATCGTAATGATTTTAATAGTAAGTATCGCAGGAACTAATTCTAGTAATAAAAGTAACGATTTTAATAGTAAGTATCTCAGGAACTAATTCTAGTCATAATCGTAATGATTTTAATAGTAAGTATCGCAGGAACTAATTCTAGTAATAATAGTAACGATTTTAATAGTATCTCGGGAACTAATTCTAGTAATAATAGTAATGATTTTAATAGTAAGTATCGCAGGAACTATTTCTAGTAATAATAGTAATGATTTTAATAGTAAGTATCTCAGGAACTAATTCTAGTAATAATAGTAATGATTTTAATACTAAGTATCGCAGGAACTAATTCTAGTAATAATAGTAATGATTTTAATAGTAAGTATCTCAGGAACTAATTCTAGTAATAATAGTAACGATTTTAATAGTAAGTATTGCAGGAACTAATTCCAGGAATAAAAGTACTGATTTTAATATTGAGTAGCTCAGTAACTATATCAAGTGATAATGGTTAGTACCTCTGTGATTATTCACTTTATCTAACCTCATCTTTCATACAGAGAATACATGACATAATGAAATGAATATTTGTTATATAAGAGTTAATTAAGTGGAAATTCTAAAAAAGGTGACGCTTGAATCGTCATTAAAATAATACAACTTTGAAAAGCAATATACTGATAAAATTATTGAAAAGATATTAAACAATAAGATGATACCAAAGGGACAATAAATAATCAAAGTAAGAAATGACAAAGAGAAGATGTTCACAAACATTGCAACATAGCATTGAAAACTTTAAATTCTGTACAGTAGGAAAAAGTCCTAGCACATTGACCAACTTTATTTTGAAATAGTTTATATGAAGGAAATTACATGAATTATAGAATAACTAACCCAAGAATTCAAATTAGGAAAAAAAATCATCGAGTAGCCAAACAACATACTAATTCACGAATGTGCATATCTCATGACGGAATTATCACTGTTGATCGATCACAAGTTGTATAATTTTCAATTATTAAGTTCTTGGATTTGTTATTTATTTTATAACATTGACTTTTAATGTAAATAAAGTAGAAAATGGAAGAAGCTATATTTTTTTTCCACACTTCCTCACTTTGAGTTGATGCAACTTCACTGACAATGATTATTTGACGTCTTAACATCGTCTATTGTTGTATGATATCAAAGGAAAGAAATTACAGGATTTCATTTACATTTGATTTGACTGAGAAATCAAAGTATTTCATTGCAACAAATGTTATACATGTATTATTAATTATTCACATATTAATCTATCAAGGTTTAAGTGATACTGAAAATCTCTCAGAAGAAGTATTAGAAGACAATCCATGGAAAGCCTCAAAGGGGAGTTACTATCATGTTGGGCTATATTGTATACCAGGCAATTGTGAGGTGGCTCCTGAAGGTCTCAGTAAATTTACTCATTTATCTGATGGTGCTATGGAGTTAGTTTTAGTTAAAGACTGCTCTCGAAGAGATTTTATAAGATATCTGAAACGTCACGGAAACCATAAAAATCAAGTAAATATTACATTATAATAGTTAGTGAAAAGTATATCAGTAAATAAATTTAATTGAAGAAATCAGAAATAGATATTTATATTCAATAACAAAAGTACAAGTTTTTCATAAAATATTATTGATCATTTTTTTAATGATTCTTTCTTTTTCTTGATATATATATTGTTAAGGTACGTTTACACAGTTAGATTTTACATCTGATTTTCAATCCAATATGATCCTGTTGCCTAAATAAATCGTACAGTGTACTGTTCACAAGATACCGTTTTCCATTTGATTAACCAAACAACATCTGATTTTAGTGTAAACATGGTTTGATTTTTGTTGAAACGACATTATAGGTAAAAAATCGGATGGAAAATCACTGTGTAAACCTTTCTTTACAGAAGTAAAATTCTCATATAAACCCATAAGGTAGGAATGGGAATATATTAAGGTCCTTCATTTACATTCTAGGTTCACAGAAAAATCAAAATCAAGAATTAGACTATTACTGACTTGTGTTATGTCTTTAGATAATATGCACATTTTTTGGTTCATTAGTGTATAAAAGTGAGTTGCAGGTCAAGTTCATGTTATATTCCAATTGATCTACTTTTCATGGAGAGTCCTATCATTCCTAAGGAAATGCTGTCTTATCCTTTTTACTTTGCATCGATCCATGCGTTCATTGATACACAATTCACATTCTGTGTCGTGTACAGTACTGCATTCAGTGACACAATTTAGATATACACTTGTTTAGTGTTCCTGAATAATAATAATAATAAAAATAATAAATTCTTTATTTAAAGAGGGTACACACAGTTAGTTACAACTAGAATCAATGTGTTACAGTTGTATATTAACATTAGCAATGATTAGTGTTGTAAACGTAGAATTCCGAGCATTCATATTTTTAAATAAATACCATCTTTGTAGAAAATAACACAATTTATTCACACTGCATGTATCATACAGATCTTACAAAGTTCATATCAAATACAAAACACACTTCATACACTACGACAGTTCACACCATTCCAGCTATTCTGTTCATTCATCAACAGTCCCATCTAAACATTTCTCTCCTCTCGTGAAATACGGGAAACAGCGTTAACACTGTATCGCATAATCACGGACATGTAGACAAAAGTCAAAGTCACAACAGTTAACTTTCATAATCTTTTACTCAGATTAGACAATACTGTGTGTGGCTACCTTTTTTACAATTAAGAAATCTGTATGTAACAATTTACATTTGAAAATCCATATGAATATGAATGAAATTGATGTGTGGAATTTTAGACAAGTTTTCAGGTTTTATTAATGAAATTTTTTTTACAGTTAGATTTTCCATTTGTGGAGGTACATAGGGTAAAAGAAGTCAGATTTAAGCCTAGATATCCAATGGGTTGGAACTATAATGATACTAAATATAATGAAGTGGAGGATCGAATGAAGTCCATAAAACATAGAATGTCTATTCAAGGAATTAAGTCAGGTGATGCGTTTATAATTGATGGCGAAAATGGAAGCACCCACACCCCATCACCACGTAGAGCAGACAGTGTAGAAGATCTTGATGATCTGGATGATACTGATGAAGATGATGAAGTTGATGATGTATCCCCAACTGGAAGTCGTACAGTGAGTGTCTATAACTTAAAAAAACAAAAGAATTGAATAATTTAAAACCAATTGTTCAGAGAACAATTGAAGGTCTTTCCACATTAAATTTCTAAATAATAAGAAGCTACCTGGTTTACTCAAAGTAATTATTGGAACAGATTTCATGATACTGATTAAAAAAATATATGGATTCTATATGATTTTGTCTGAAATGAGGGAGATAATTTTGCTACTTCCGGTTTAGAAAATGTCACTTCAGGTCTCATATGATAGCTTATGTCACACAGATTCAAAAAATATATGGTTTCTATATACTTTTGTTTGAAATAAGGGAGATAAATTGCCACTTCTGGTTTAAAAAATTTCACATCCGGTATCATCTGATAGGTTACTTTATACACTTTTCTGTGGAAAGAACAATTGTATTTGTTGTGATTATTTTTTTTCTGCTTCCGCCAAATTTGTTTCTTGCGTGTAATTTTGTTTCACAAGTTGTTACTTAAATATTTTGCATATGATATTGAACCGTTATTGCGCTTTTAAAATTGACCCTTTTTAGGCGAAGACTTTTTATTGTAAGAGTTATCTCCCCAAACACTGTTTTTGTTGTTTGTGCATCTCCTCCATAACGGTAAAAGAAATCGACAAATTTATTTTACCAAATTGCTCGTTATATCCTCAGGATAATTTGTTCAATTTTGACCAAAGCGACACTAAGACTCCATATGAGAGTTATTTCCCTTTCTGTATTTGACATAAGTGATACATTAATGTATAGCATGAATGGTAAGTGATAGAGACCTAAGGTGTTTTGGTTTGAGGTTCTTGGTTCACTAAAATGAAACAGAGATCAAGGTCATATTCTAAATTTCGACTTTTCCTTGTTTTATGATCTCCTCTGTCACTTTTAAAGATATATATAAAAGAACTAGTGCAAAATATTTGCCTCATTGTGATGAAGATATGATACATTTGGTCTGAAACAATTCAGTGACATCTTATAGGAGTTATTCTCCATAAAATGGTTAAATTTAAGGTTAATTGATTATTACTCCAACTTGGTACATGACAAAGCCATAAGGTCTTTTGCAAAATGTTGGGCAACATATGACCTTGAAAATTATCAACCGGAAGTAGCCATTTTTGCACTTAATTCATGGAAAAGTACATAGAAACTATGTATTTTTAGCTCACCTTTCCGAATTGGTAATTTTAAGGAAATTTTGCAGTTTTTTGTTATCTTGAATATTATTTTTGATAAAGACAAACTGTAAACAGCAAAAATGTTCAGCAAAGTAAGATCTGCAAATAAATTTTATGACCAAAATTGTCAATTGACCCCTTACGGAGGTATTGCCCTTTAAAGACAATTTTTCACAATTTGTTCATCTAGTTTGCTTACTTTAAAAAATCTTCTCCTTTGAAACTGCTGAATCAATGAGTTTCAGAGTATCTAGTATAAATTTTGTATTTTATTTCCTTGTATGTCAAGAAACATAGCCACTATGGCTAAAATGGAACATAGGGGTAAAATGCATTTTTTTGCTTTTGAAGAAAATACGACAGATACAAAGAAGATTTAAATGGCATTTTTAAGTTACTCATTAATATATATTGAAAATTAAAAATAATCATTGATGAAAGATTTAAGCAAAAAATTACAGGTAAGCGATTCAGGCTCTTGAGAGCCTCTTGTTTAATTAGGCATACATAAACCTATCATTTGAGACAGGAAGTGACCTTCAATAAACCAAAAGTAGCTAAATATCTCCAACATTACAGGCAAAAGTGTATAGAAACCATATATTTTTTTAATCAGTGTGAATAAAGCTATCATATGAGACCGGAAGTGACATTTTTTAAACCGGAAGTAGCAAATTATCTCCCTTCTTTTAGGAAAAAAATAGAGAACCCATATATTTATTTAATCAGTATGAAGAAACCTATGCTTGGATGCCAATAGTAACTTTGAGTAAACCGGAAGTAGCTTCTTATCAATCATTTAAAAAATTGATGTGGAAAGACCTTCAATTGTTCTCTGAACAATTGGTTTTTAATTTAATTACTTTTTTTTTTAATTTTAATTTTCTTTTTTGCCTTTCTATATTTTTTTTATATTTTTTTATGTTTTTTTTCTTTTTACTTTTTCGTTATTTTTTAAACTTTTTTTCACGTTTTTATAGGGATGAAAAGGGTATTATACACAACTGTGTACTATACACAGCTAAATACGGTACTCTAATAGCTGCTATATTGTGAAATCAGTCTATCTTTTGAAATCATCTCACTTTAATTTTAACGGTTCTGTCCATGTGTTATCAGTGTTCTCAGATTAGATCTGTTAAAACATCATTTGGAACTATTTTGACTGTATGTATTAAGTCATGAATATTAAAGTGTTTGTATCTCAATGTTATAGGGCTCTGAGCATAAAAACAACAACATATATAAGAGACAAGACAATGTACTTGTAAACAGTGCTCCACAGGATCAACGACTTGTAGGACTTCAGTATCGACAAACTTTTGCTGATGAGGAGAGATGGAGAAGGAAAAAGAAAGTGCTGAAAAAGGAAGAAAAGAAAAGGATTAAAGAGGAATCCAAAATCCAGACTGTATGGAATATTGATAATGAGATATGTGATGACACATTGTTGAGTTTTAGGTATGTGTTATCAGCTTACTTTGTGACGAACTGGAAATTCTACAACAAGCATTAAACAAGGGCTTCTGAATTCTTTTTTTTACCCATGGGAAAGTTATCTTACAATTTTACTTTCCCGCATCAGTTTTCACTTTCCTGTTCTTATTTTTTTTTAAAGTCTGAAAAAAAGCTTGATATATGTACAATTAAAAAACATAAACAACTTTATTTCTAAACATACATTACTGTTTAGGTCTAAAAATTTCCGTTTCTTTGATGAATCGTTGGAGATAAAATATTTATGCAAACTCATGGCTTCATGACCTCCATTACTGTTCACTGATAATAACTAACTACCGTTGTAAACGCAAGGAAACAAGTGATTACTTCAGGAAACTAGTTTCTAAATTAGATTTTATCCCATAACCGACTTTGTCAAACATGAATATGACACACCAGAAAGTACCACGTAAAGACGATTTACTTATTCGACTGGAAACTGGTACCTGTGTTTTCGTTTACCCGACGATTTTTTTACTTTCCCCTGGAAACGGGGAATTCTGAAGCCCTGTAAACATGAACAAATATTGAAAAGTCAAATAATTGTTCAAGATGGAATAAGCAATCTTTGCATGTCACCACAACAGTCCAGTCCTAATGCTCTGATCTAGAGCTATAATCTCAAAAATCAGTAAAAAGTTAATTTGATTTGCTTTCTTGTCATATCTGCAAAATCAGGATGTGATTATTTTTCTGGTCAGAGTTTCTTATAATATGTCTGTACAACAGGTTTATTTATTGTACATATATTGCCGAAGATTGTTAACAAGTATTATTAAATGTTCAGATGTTTTTACAATGATACCTTTATTTTATGCTTATAGGGTACATCATGGGTTACTGTCTGTATATGGAGTTGGTTTATCACCAGATACAGTTTTCATCAATTCACCATTATCCTGCCTACCACTTATCAACTAGACAATAACCGATATATTACCTCCCTGTCATCAGCAGGAGCAAGGATCCAGTCATTCATCAGCAAGAGAAAGGTCCCAGTTGATCATTAGCTAAATAGAAATTTATAAACAATTACTATGTTATCATTGAGTACTAAAATCTGCAATTTAACCATTCACATGCATCATAATAGATTGGGATTGTAGGCTGTGTAAGAGCAAGTAATGTATTTCCTTGTAGAGCAATTAAGTAATCTACATAAAGAAACCAGAAGGTTCTCAGATCCATGTTTAAAATTTATCAACAAAGAGAAACTAGCCTCAATAATAATTTTATTGAAATCTATACACCATGTACCTGTGCTATGGTAATAAAAATGTATTTTTGAAAAAAAGTTTGTTTCAATTTGCTTATTATTACTGTAAAACTTGCCTTTTTAAAGTTCATTTATTTGTTGTTTTTAATGTAAATAAAGTGATTTGTTGTTCCATGAAATTAATTTTAACTGTTAATTCTAATTTCTAGGTATATCTTGAATTGAATCACAGTGTTTGGTTTTTGTATGTTTTATTTATTTGCAATCTGATAAAAGTATAGATTTTTGTGTCGCCCCTTCGCTTACAAGGATCAAATAACGCTCCATTCTTATTTTTTTTAAACAACCTTTCGGGATCTTTAGGTTTTATTGTATTGATACACACCTTCAAAAATTTAGAGGCAGACATTTCATTGGTTGATACAAAAGTTATCAGCACAGAAAGTAGGATGGAGTGTTGTCAGATCCTCATAGAGAAGTGCTGACACAGTATTTGGATTCATTTTATTGTGAATGTAAGATATTTATGAGGTGCTTTCTTATATTTTGGGAGATAGAGTTCAAACTAAAATGTAAGAAGTATATTTATTTATATAAAGAATAACTTTTGTCTTCAAAAGGCAAAAGTGTTTGATTTTATTGCTTATTTTCATATACACATTAATAATTATTGCCTTGTAGTGTAAGTTTTGCACAGTGTATGACATTGTTGTGATTTGTTCAATTATTAATTTTAAACTATATTTAGTTTTATTAGAATTTTTGTTATTTAGATTCAAAAACTTACATTTTGCTTGGATCTATATTTTGTTTTTTATCAGACCTATAGTCACAGTCTCGATTGTTATACTGTTGTGAAAAGAATTTTATTTTCAGTTTCTTTTTTTTGCATTTAAGTTTTTGTTGAATGACAATTAATTTTATTGGTTACCAATTTCCATGAAAAGACAAAAAATTATGTCTCACCTTTTTTCAGGGTGATTGATGTATTTTTCAGTCTATTTCAAAAGTTTGGTGAACTTGTAAGCTCTAGCACCTTGTTGAAGATCTCACTGTTACTTGGAGAGGAAGAACAGCAATAAAAGCTTATCCGTTGCCTTTGGTTTTACCAAGTGTGAGCACATTTTGTCATTAATTTATGCACGATATTACTTTTTTAGTTAACATTGAAAGGAAACAATATTTAACTGGATTGTTGCACACCAATGTACTGGTAGTTGTGCATATGAAATGTTTATGCCAATCAGAGGATATTTTTCAGAGTTAATGGCCTTTATAACTTAGAAAATCTATACATGCATTACTAACTTAATTCTATCCATGCATCACAACAAATTGTGCACACAAACTCCTCCGCAGTCTTCATTTAAATGATTAAATGAGATGAGACTGGGATGATTGTTTATGGAACCTTTTTTACGGCAAAACTTAACCAAATTTTGCAGGAATGATTGAAGGTCCCCTTCAAACAATCATTATTTTGTTCTGATCTTACAAAAAATTGTTGTTAGAGGCAATCTTTGATTTTGATTGGCCAAGTTTCAAAGAATTTCTTCTCTGAATCTACAAGGTGACATACATTGGTGGCACTTAGCTCATAATGAAACCTTAAGAGAAACACATTTTATATTCTAAAACCATAAGGCTAATGCGAGTTAAACTTTGAAGGAATACTGTGGATTCATTTATTTTTCGTGGGTACTAATTTTCGTGGATTGAGAAAAACTTGCATTTTCGTGGATATTAAATTTCGTGGTTTGGCAAAGTCTTCATACACTCCTTTAGAAAATTTGTAATTCGTTGAACTTTTAAATTCGTGGTTCCCCTGTTCCCACGAAATCCACGAAAATTGGTATCCAACGAATATTTATGAATTCTCAGTAATTTATAGAAGGACCTCTACAAATGACTGCCAGCGACATTCATGTTTTTGATTGGCCAGTTTTTAAAAATGTTCTCTTGAAACTACAAGGCAAAATATGTCAAAACCTTACAGAAGTTAATGATTTGGACTCAAATTTATCCAAAATTGATAGGAATAATGTACAGAAGGTTTTCTATAAAGGATCAACATGCGGTTCATGATAAAAAATGTGGCATTCTTAGATTCTTATTAAACAGCTTTATATAACATCTAACAGGAATATAAGTTAATATTATGCATAGATACCATGCAAGCCATTCTAGCTATGTTTCACTGTTTATACTGGAGATGCTTTAAGTTACTGTTTTTTGCCTAGACTAGAGGAAAAAAGATAGACATATTTGCTTCACTGTGTAAATTTTTTAGTTTAATTTGTTTCATGGGAAATAGTGACTACATTATTTAGTATCTCTAAATTTTTGTTGATGTTAAAAAATTAACCAAGGATAGTTACCATCATAGAATTATATTCAATTTATAAAAAAAATCAAAATCTCTTAAGATTTTAAATGAATGTGTTCAGTATTGAGAAGAATTGTAACAGTATTTAAGCATAGTGTGTATATTTTACTGTTAAGTGGGAGAATTTTATTAGGGGTTTATGTTTTTGCTAATTTCTCAATTAAGTTAAAAAAAATTGTGAAAAATATTCCCTCGTGTAAATTTTGATCTTCAAAAAAAGATTAGAGTCAAGGACAAGAAAAAAGGGTTAATGAAACATATCAAACTTGTTTGGCCCTTTGAAATAGGGAAATTAAATCTCTGCAAAAAAATAATCCACTAGACAGTATTTAGCACTTGTATTTCAGAGTAGTATACATTACCCCAAAGGGTTTTATATTTATTCATTAGAACATCATACCTGATTTATATAAAATAGCTGAAAACACATGCATAATGTCCTCATTGATAGTCTATGTAGTAATGGCTCACAATTTTATCAAAAATATATTTTACCATACTGAAGGAAACAAAGGGTAAGAACATTCAGATTTTATCAAGATCCCAGTGATCATATATATATTATTGTTTATGATTTAGATAGAAATTTATATATATATATATATATCACTATAAAGTAGACAACATTCAAAATTATTTATACAGACAAAGGGAAGTGATATAAATTCATGTCAATATTAGCCCTAAAATTCTGTGAAATTTAAGTATAGATTTTAGTGATTCGGTTTGACAGAAACTTATTAAAGATTACCTGATAAGATTTGTTTAATTTTGTTTTTCTAATATAAGTGAGCCCTTAAAATGCATTGAAAAACAAATCTGTTTTTAATGGGGAATAAAATCATTAAAGCAGTTATGTCTGAAGGAAACATGAAAAGAGATGTAGATGGTTAAGTAAAATATATGTATTCAGAAATGATACTACTGATTGGATAGGATCTAAACAATTCTAATTTCTAGAACAAAAGTCTTGCCTTTTTTATTTTTTCTGCATTTTTAACATAAAATAACTGATCATTATTGGTCAACATATTCAAACACATTTACATCAAATGTATATAATATCTGAACGAGTGCAATATGTTCTTTTGTGTGTTTTAATGATACAGATGTCTTAGTTTGGTTAAATTTTGCATTTAGGTGCATTTGTCAGAAGTCAGTTATTGTATATCAACGATAGTCCTATTGTTAGTACTAAGCTGTTATAATAGTCACTGTAATGAAAAACAGTGGTTAAGTTTTACATTTAGGTACATTTCTTAGAAATGAATTATAATATTACATTGTTTCATTAATGAATACCATGCATTATAGCCAAATGTTTGTAACTGACTAACATTGGAAAGTTTAAGCTTGTCAAAAAGTTTTCAAAGAATCCGATACAATTTTTATCATGAACAAGGATTTTTATTTTACCTCTCATTTTTTCATTCCTTTTATATAAGATACCTTTATGTCATGAGGATTTTTTTCATTTTTTTTTTTCATTTTCCTTCAAGTGTATAGAGTAAACTCCATTTTGGTTTATGTAATCCCATAGACTTTTTGTTGTAACTGTCTTACAACCAGTAAAAACTTCAATGGTTAAAATATGGATGAATTGCATATCACAAGCTCATGGTACAGCTGTTTACTGAGTTGAAAAGTCAAATAAGAATGTATGTATATATCAGTGGTCATTTATTAATTTAATCCTTATTTAATATGCTTCATATTTCTGAAACCCACTTTTTTGTTGAGATGTGTAACCCATGTTTTACACACATATTCTACATTTTTATACGACCGCAAAAATTTTTGCGGTGATATATTGGTATTACGTGTCAGCGTCATCCGAAGACATTTGGTTTCCGGACAATAACTTTAGTAAATCTAAATAGAAATCTATGAAATTTAAACACAAGGTTTACAACCACAAAAGGAAGGTTGGGATTGATTTTGGGGGTTACAATCTTAACAGTTTAGGAATTAGTGGACAAAACAGGGCCCAAATAAGTATTTTTGTAGTTTCCAGTCAATAATTTGTGGAATGGTGTATGGATCTCTCTGAAATTATACCACAAGTTTCCCTACCACAAAGGGAGGGTTAGGATTGGCTTTGGGGGGTTATGGCTCAAACCGTTTAGGAATTAGGGGCAAAAAAGGGGGAAAAACAAGGGTTTCCTGGTTAATGGACAATTAAAAAAAAGTACAATGTTATGTTTGGATTACCTCCCTTACACTGCTTTTAAATTATGTATAAAGAAATGTTGTATTGTCTTGAGGTGATTAGCTGTCAATTTATTTTTAGAAGTTACTATTTAAAAATGCTGATTAAGGAATATTAATTTTAGCCATGATTATGTATGTCATAAAATTTGTTTTTTCTCATTTCAGATTTCAGAAATTAAAAAGAAAATGTCTTCAAATATTTTTTTTTGCAAAAAAAAAAAGAGGGGGGGGGGGGTCAATTCGCAACAGCATAGTGTATTGCACATAAGCCAAAAGAAAGGGGTAATTTTTTTTTGTGGGGTTGGGGGGTCAATTCGAAACAGCATAGTGTATTGCACAAAAGCAAAAAATTTAATATAAATTCAAATCATATAACCAATTCTAAGTTCTTCGACTACAGTTATTCTGTGTCAGAAACCTATTATGTGTCAAATATTTAATTACATTCCAAATTCAGACCTGTATCAAGCGCGAATATTGTGTCCATTTTTGCCCCAACTGTTCAGGGTTGGACCTCTGTGGTGGTATCCAGCTGCGCTTGGCGAAGCAATTTATTTCATATGTAACCGGAATTTGTCATTCTTTTAACAGGACATAATAAAGATAAAGAGAGTTACAAGTTAGATTAAAATATGATTTCCATAATATTCATAGAGGACAAACTGTAGGTTTATATTTTCATTTGCATGTTGGATGCCCCCTTAAAAATTAGCAGTCTTTATGAAACTGTAGCATGACAATGTTTACTTTTGTGTCTCTTTTGTATATCAATCTTAAATATCATGTGATTAATCTTATGAAGTTGTACAAGATTGCAATCCACCCTTCCCTCCAAAAAAAACTTCAACAAAAATTATTTCATTTGTTGTCTTTAATCTTTTTCAATACATAGGAAGTTCAAAAGATGGGGCGGGGGGGTGTCCTCCTCCCTTGTGGCCAAATTTTTTTGTTGTTTTTGTACATTTTCTGATTTTTGACTGCCCTCCTGAGAAAAAATTATGGAAAATTGAAGATAATTAATTTGGTATTTTTCAGCTTTCAATATATGATTTGATTTGATTTGAGTTATTAACATTAAGTTCTTTACCTTCTGAATTAAAACAATTGTACCGTTTGTATTATTATTAATTTTTCAAGGATTTAATTTAAAAATGGTTACGAAGAACAAAAACCTGGTGCATTCATGCATAATTTAAAGTTGCACAGAATTATAATCATATATAGGTGTTACATTTTCTGATTATGGGTACCTTTTACACACACAAAATTGTAACCATTTTAATGTTTTACATTTAATCGATTTTAATTTGTTATGATTTTTATGTCCCGAAAACATACAGTTTAGTGGGGTTTCATCATATATTGATAATTCATTATATAATTGTGTGTGTGTAAGTATTTTTTAATTGCACTGTAAAATACTGCATACTTTCTCTTGACACGCTACAGTATTCCATCCACAATCATCCTCATATTCCGTCCACTTTATATGTTCTGTTTTTATCTTGCATTCCAGATTTTTTATTTTTACTGGTATTGTATTATTTTATAATTTTATGGTTATTTTAAAAATTCTTATACGGATAATATTTACAAGAGTTAATTAATACAAACAAATGTGTTTAATTTAAAACAAAAGATGAAATAAAATATACCAATGTGATTTCTGTAGTACTTTTGTTGATTGTTCCTGGTTGTCTGTATGAAAGTTGTTAAAACACAGACAAGTATGTTATTCTGATGTGGCAGAAGTGTTATACAAAGTTTTTTATGCCCCCGCAACTGTCCGTCCGTCCAAATATGAGTATATAGCTATTCCAGATAACTCCTCCTACAGTTTGATGACCACAAAAAATTTGCGTCCGTATCATGTTATGGCGATGTCTGCGTCATCGTCCAAGGATTGGTTCACAGACAATAACTTGAGTATAAGTGTATGGATCTCTCTGAAATTTTAGCACAAGGTTCCATACTAATAAAGGATGGTTGGGATTGTTTTTGGGGGTTATTGTCCACTCTGTTTTGTAATTAGAGGCCAAAAAAGGTCAGTTTTACTGGTTCATAGAAAATAAATTGGTTCGCAGACAATAACTTTATCATAAGTGTATGGATCTCTCTGAAATTTTTGCACAAGGTTCCATACAACTAAAGGATGGTTGGGATTGTTTGAGGGGGGGGGGATGGTATTGTCTTAGTGGTTTTGATATTAGGGGCCAAAAAAGGTCAGTTTTACTGGTTCATAGAAAATAAATTGGTTTGCAGACAATAATAACTTTAGTATAAGTGTATGGATCTGTATGAAATTTGATTTTTTGGGGGGTCATGGCCTAAACCCTTTTAATAACCAGGGGTTGAAAAGGGGTCAAAAACAACTATTTTTCTGGTTCGCAGGCAATAACTTGGTATAAGTGTATGGATCTCTATTAAATTTTAGCACAAGGTTCCATACCACAATAGGAAGGTTGGGCTTTATTTGGGGGTTATTATAGTAGCTGTTTAGGAATTAGGGGCAAAAAAGGGGCTAACAAAAACAATTATTTTTTTGGTTCACAGACAGCAACTTGAGTAAAAGTACATGGATCTCTATTAAATTTTAGCACAAGGTTCCATTCTACAATAGGAAGGTTGGAATTTATTTTTGGGGTTGTTGTCATAGCTGTTTAGTAAAAAGGGGTCAAAGACAAACATTTTTCATGTTTCAGGACAATAATTTGTGTATAAGAGTATGGATCTCTATGAAATTTTACCACAAATTTCATACTTCAAAAGGAAAGTTGGGAATGATTTTGGGGGTCATGGTCCATACTGTTAAATAATTAGAGATAAAAAAACTATGATTTTCTGGTTTCTGGACACTAATTTGAGTACAAGTCTATTTATTGCTATTTAATTGTGCCACAAGGTGTTATACCGTGAAATAAAGTTTGGGATTGATTTTAGGGGTTATGACCGTAACGGTTTAGTTAAAAGGGGCCAAAAATAATTCTTTTGTAATAATTTGTATACATTGCTTATTTCTTGAGCAATTTCAATGGGGTTTAATATGCTGAATCTAAGTGTGTATTTAGATTTTTGATTTTGGGCACAGTATTCAAGTTGCTCCAAATTGCTGAATCTAATTTGGTATTTAGAATTTGGATTTTGGGCCCTGTTTTTAAACGCCTGTCAAAGTTTTGATGGGACGTATTATGGTATACAAATGACCGGCGTCCGTCTGTCTGTCAGTCTGTCTGTCTATCTGTCTGTCCAGCGTCCACATGTCGCACCGTAACTTGAGAACAACTTATCCAAATTTCATGAAACTTAACATAGTTGTTTCTTATGATTCTCAAATGATCTGTATACTTTTTGGTGAAAATAAGATTAAAACTTTCTGAGTTACGGGACTTTGTAACTAAAACGAACAGGGGGTGTTTTTTTCACATGTCGCGCCGTATCTCAAAAACGATTTATGATTATTGCTTAAAACTTTACACACTTCTTAGTTATATTAATCTAAAGATCTGTATACTTTTTGGTGATGATTCAAAATTTATTTTAGAGTTATTGAGTTTTTTGTAAAAAAAGGGGGGGTTTTCACATGTCGTGCCGTATCTCAAAAACGATTTATGATTATTGCTTAAAACCTTACACACTTCTTAATTATATTAATCTAAAGATCTGTATACTTTTTGGTGATGATTTAAAATTTTATTTTAGAGTTATTGATTTTTTTATAAAAAAAGGGGGGTTTTCACATGTTGCGCCGTATCTCAGAAACGATTTATGATTATTGCAAAAAACCTCACACACAAGACGATGGGCGTATCATGCGCTCATGGCACAGCTGTTTATTGAATTGATCCATATTAAGGTCCAAAGTGTCCAAAATTCAACTTTGTTTGATTTAAAAAAAAATTTAATTATTGGTGTTCTTTGATATGCCCAATCCAACAGTGTTTTTTTTTATTTTGGATGTTGGGACCGGTTTTCAACGTTGGTCTAAATTGGGGTTCAAAATTAAACTTTGTTTGATTTCATAAAAAATTTAATTATTGGTGTTTTTTGATGTGCCCAATCTAATAGTGTTTTAGATTTTTGATTTTGGGCCTGTTTTTCAAACTGGTCCACATTAAGGTCCAAAGTATCCAGAGTGTGTGTGGGGGGAGGGGGGCGTAGAGGGCATACGCCCCCTTTTACTGGCACTTTTTAAAATTTTTTTATCTTTTTTTTTTTATGCCCCGGCCGTAGCTGAGGGGTATTAAGTTTTACCCTTGTCTGTTTGTACGTCCGTATGTCCCAAAGTTGGTTTCCGTTCACTAACTTGAGATTGCCTCAACCAAATGTTATGAAACTTATACACAATGCTTATTACCACAAAATACAGATCAAGTATGAATTTTGGTGGTGTCACTTTAACCGTTCTAGAGTAATGCACCTTTACAAATGGAAAAACTGCTGATTTTTTTGTTTCTGTTCTCTAACTTAAGTTAGCCTCAACCAAATGTTATTAAACTTATACACAATGCTCATAACCACAAAATATAGATCAAGTTTTAATTTTGGGGTTGTCACTTTTATTTTTTGATAAGGTGAACTCCTTTAAAAACTAAGATTGTATTGTCTATTAATAAACATATATTTAGATTTCTGATTTTGGGCCCAGTTTTCAAGTTGGTCCAAATCCGGGTCCAAAATTAAACGGTGTTTGATTTCAACATAAATTGAATATATATAGGGTTCTTTGAAATGCTGAATCTAAACCTGTATTTATTTTTATTATTTGTTAGATAATACCACATGGAGGTCCAAAAGGTCCTAAATTAAACTTTTGTTTAATCAACAATTGAATTCTAGGGTTCTTTGATAAGCTGATTCTAACAATGTTTGAGTGTTAAATCATATCTAATTTTAGAGAACTTAGTCATCACTGGTTGTTGTTATTATATTATTGATTATGATTTGAAAATTTACATCATATCTAATTTTATAGAACTTGGTCATCACTGGTTTATTGATTATAATCATATCTATTTATCCAGTTTGAGTTATTTCCCTTTGCACAGAAAATATATGGATAAAATTAAATTGTGTTTCATTTCAATTGAAATTAAATATATATAGGGTTCTTTCAAATGCTGAATCTAAACCTGTATTTAAAAATTAGATATTTGGGCCCAGTTTTCAAGTTGGTCCAAATCAGGGTCCAAAATTAAACTTAGTTTGATTCACAAAAATTGAATTTATCTGGTTCCTTGAAATGCTGAATCTAACCATGTATTGCGAGATTTTGGATTGTGGGCTCTTTTATCAAATTGGTCCACATTGTGTTCCAAAGGGTCCTTAATTGAACTTTTGTTTGATTTCATCAAAAATTGAATTCTGGGGTTCTTTGATTTTTAGCTCACCTGACCCAAAGGGTCAAGTGAGCTTTTCTCATCACTTGGCGTCCGTCGTCCATCGTCCGTCGTCCGTAAACTTTTACAAAAATCTTCTTCTCTGAAACCACTGGGCCAAATGCACCCAAACTTAAACACAATCATCATTCAAGTATCTAGTTTAAAATAATGTGTCCGATGACCCCGCCAACCAACCAAGATGGCCGCCATGGCTAAAAATAGAACATAGGGGTAAAATGTAGATTTTGGCTTATATCTCTGAAACCAAAGCATTTAGAGTAAATCTGATAGAGGGTAAAACTTATTATCAGGTCAAGATCTATCTGCCCTGAAATTTTCAGACAAATCTGACAACCTGTTGTTGGGTTGCTGCCCCTGAATTGGTAATTTTAAGGAAATTTTGCAGTTTTTGTCGAGCCTGCGACTTTTGTCGCAGAAAGCTTGACATAGGGATAGTGATCTGGCGGCGGCTACGGCGGTGGCGGCGTTAGCTAACTTCTTAAAAGCTTTATATTTTAGAAGGTGGAAGGTCTGGATGCTTCATACTTTGTATATGAATGCCTCATGTTACGAAGTTTCCGTCAGTCACATGTCCAATGTCCTTGACCTCATTTTCATGGTTCAGTGACTACTTAAAAAAAAAGTTAAGATTTTTTGTAATGTTAGATTCTCTCTTATTATAAGTAATAGGATAACTATATTTGGTATGTGCGTACCTTGCAAGGTCCTCATGCCCGTCAGACAGTTTTCACTTGACCTCGACCTCATTTCATGGATCAGTGAACAAGGTTAAGTTTTGGTGGTCAAGTCCATATCTCAGATACTATAAGCAATAGGTCTAGTATATTCGGTTTATGGAAGGACTGTAAGGTGTACTTGTCCAACTGGCAGGTGTCATCTGACCTTGACCTCATTTTCATGGTTCAGTGGTTATAGTTAAGTTTTTGTGTTTTGGTCTGTTTTTCTTATACTGCATGCCATAGGTCTACTATATTTGGTGTATGGAATGATTGTAAGGTGTACATGTCCAGCGGCCAGGTGTCATCTGACCTTGACCTCATTTTCATGGTTCAGTGGTCAAAGTTAAGTTTTTTGAGTTTTGGTCTTTTTTTCTAATACTATATGCAAAAGTTCAACTGTATTTGGTGTATGGAAATATTTTATGAACTATTTGGCAGTAACGCAGGTTTTATTTGACCTTTACCTCATTTTCAAGGTTCATTGCTCAGTGTTAAGTTTTTGTGTTTTGGTCTGTTTTTCTTAAACTATAAGCAATAGGTCAACTGTATTTGTTGTATGGAAGAATTGTTAGCTGTACATGCCTGCCTAGCATGGTTCATCTGACCTTGACCTCATTTTCATGGTTCATTGGTCAATGTTTAGTTTACTTGGTTAATGTTAAGTTTATGTGACAGTTGTAATAAAGCTTTATATTTAGGACTATCAACATAATATCAATGATTAGTAAAGAAGGCGAGACATTTCAGCGTGTGCACTCTTGTTGGTTATTATCTTGAATATTATTATAGATAGAGATAAACTGTAAACAGCAATAATGTTCAGCAAAGTAAGATCTACAAATAAGTAGTCATGACCAAAATTGTCAGTCGACCCCTTTAGGAGTTATTGCCCTTAATAGTCAATTTTTGACAATTTTTCGTAAATTTTTGTTATCTTTTACAAAAATCTTCTTCTCTGAAACTACTGATACAAATTTAACCATACTTGGCCATAATCATTATTAGGGTATTTAGTTTAAAAAATTTGTCCGATGACCCCGCCTTCCAACCATCATGGCCAACTTAGTTAAAAATAGAACATAGGGGTAAAATGCAGTTTTTGGTTTATATCTCTGAAACTAAAGCATTTAGAGCAAATCTGACAGGTAGCAAAAATGTTCATCAGATTTAGATTTATCTGCCCTGAAATTTTCAGACAAATCCGATGACCCGTTGTTGGGTTGCTGCCCCTGAATTAGTAATTTTACAAAAATTTTGCAGTTTTTTGTAATTATCTTAGATATCATTATAATATCTAATATCTAATACTATTAATTATGATTTTAACCTTATTTTACATGATTTCCAAAGCATCAGTAAATACAGGTGAGCGACACAGGCTCTTGAGAGCCTCTAGTTTTTTTTTACATTTTTTAAAATTTTTTAAAGACACTGTTAAAATGATGAATGATATTTTCGAAATTGTTTTTTTTTTCTCAGTTTTTTATACGACTGCAAAAAATTTTTGTAGTCGTATATTGGTATGACGCTGGCGTCGTCGTCGTCAGAAGACACATTGGTTTTCGCACAATAACTTTAGTTTAAGTGAATGGATCTCTATGAAATTTTACCATAAGGTTCAATACATGTACCACAAAAGGAAGGTGGGGATTGATTTTGGGGGTTATGGTACCAACAGTTAAGGAATAAGGGGCCAAAAATAAGCATTTTTGTAACTTCCAGACAATAACTTGTGTGTAAGTGTATGGATATCTCTGACATTGTACCACAAGGTTCCATATCACAAAGGGAATGCTGGGATTGATTTTGGGGGTAATTGCCTCAAAATGTTGGGAATTAGGGGCCAAAAAGGGACAAAAAACAAGCCTTTTTCTAGTTTCATGACAATAACTTGTGTGTAAGTGTATGGATCTTTATGAAATTGTACTACAAGGTTCCATATCACAAAGGAAAAGCTGGGTTTGAGTTTGGGGGTAATTGCCCTAAACGTTTAGGAATTTGGGGCCAAAAAGGGGCCAAAAAACGACATTTTTACAGTTTCCAGACAATAACTTGTGTTCAAGTGTATGGATCTCTCTGAATTTGTACTGCAAGGTACCATACCATAAAGGGAAGGCTGGGATTGAGTTTGGGGGTGATGAATCATAAGGGGGTTCAAAACATTGGTGGGGGGGGGAGATTTTTTTTCCTTTTTTTTTTCTTTAAAATTTTCCATTTTAAGTTGGTTATTTTTTATTTATATATAAAAACAAATAATAATGATATGCTTGATTTCATCAAAAATTGAAATATTGGGGTTCTTTGATATGCTGAATTTAACCGTGTATTTAGATTCTTAATGTTTGATCCCGTTTTCAAATTGGTCTACATTAAGGTCCAAAGGGTCCAAAATTAAACTTAGTTTGATTTTAACAAAAATTGAATTCCTTGGGTTCTTTGAAATGCTGAATCTAACCATGTATGTATTTAGATTTTGGATATTGGACCATAATAGGTAAATTAAAAAAATTTAAGTTCTTAGACCACATTCATTCTGTGTCAGAAACCTATGCTGTGTCAAATATTTAATCACAATTGTTTTAAGAACTTCATGGTAGGTTTGTTTATTATGCTGTATAAATTATATATATTTATATATATATACAAACAAGTTTAAATTGAAAACAACGTTCAAACCTATGATTGCGTTGGATAAAAACCGTGATTTTTATATAATGTGGACGTTTCCATTACTGTAGAGGACGAAGCAACAGTTCAATTAAATCAACAGTTTACTGACATTCAATCGGTACTGTGATCCCTAGGCAATAAAATGGAAAATACTAATAGTGGAAGTTCCATGACATTCTGCCCGGGTCCTCCACCAGATATTGCGTGGCACCTTTTGATTATAAGCAAACCCCTTTAAAAACTTAGCTAATATTGTCCATCAACAAATAAATAAATTAAATTCTTGGTGTAGTAAGATATTATGGTCCATTAATAAATAAATAAATTAAATTCTTGGTGTACTTGGATATGCTGAATCTAACCATTACTTGCCCCAACTGTTCAGGGTTCGACCTCTGCGATCGTATCCAGCTGTGTCTAGCGGAGCATTTTATTTAAAGCGTTATGCCCCTTCGAAATATTAATTAAATGAAAAATTGCTTTGCATTTACTCTCAAACCTTCATTTCTCTCATAGAAAATGTGCAATGCGGGGCACATTGGAGCTCTGTTCTTTTATTTTTGTTTTTGTTTGAAACTTTAATGTTCTGTTGCGATTTTCGCAATTATAAAGGTATTACAAAAATTTATCAGTTTTGCTTGTGGCTATGGACCTCAAGTTTGACACTAAACCTTTGTATTATTTTTACTGAATCTCAAATGTTTGTCCAATTTTTTTTTATAAGTTTCTTAGTATTACAAGAACAAGTAACTTTGGCTTATAGAATGATTGAATAAACATGCATGCCTCTAAGGAGTCACCTGACCTTGATCTAATTTGCTTAGTTTAAAGATTCACATTATATATAATGTTTCTAGATAATCAAAGCTTCTGTAGTTTATATAGTCGATTGTCAGTTTTCCTACCGAAGGTCGGTGGTTCTCTCTGGGCACCCTGGCTTCCTCCGCCAATAAAAACTGACCGCCACGAAATAGCACAATCATGAGTGTTGAAAGTGGTGTTACACACCAACCAATCAATCAATCAATTATCTCATTGTTTGTATTGTATTATGAAAATTATTGATTTTGTAATGTTTTTGCCCTTTGGGGCCCATAATTGGAAATAAAATATTCTTCTTCTTCTTTTCTTCTATAGTTACAAAGTATTATTGAAATGGCACAAACTAGAGGGATGGGATAGAAAAAAATAAGTGGCATAGGTTTTCTTTCATTGAAAATTAAGGAAAACAATAAATACAGTGTGTTTTCCAAAAAAAAACATTTTTGTTCGTCCTGTATGTTTTTGAAAAAAAAATAGTTTCTTTTTTGTTTGTCAGAAAATATTGTTTGTCCCAAGAAAAAAAAAACATTCCCCCACATAAGATAAATGGCCAGTGCCTTTCCATCAGCACTTGAGGAAAGAACGAGGTCACCAAAGGAGTGGCAAAAATAAATTTTACTACATGAAAACAAGACTGTATCAGAAAAGCTCTTAGCATAGGGAAAGAAAAGAAAAAAATGAAGACGCTATTCCTTCTTTTAAACATATTTACTTTGCTTGTGGCATAAGCTTTGAAGGCTGGATGTGAAATACCTAAAAATGCAGAGTGGGAGCTTTTCTTATCACTCTGCACATCATGAACTTTTTCAAAACAAAAACCTTCTATATGAGCAATGCACATCACTTGGTGCCTGTCCGTTGTCATAATCTTTTATCAAAAATCTTATTCTCTGAAAATTCTTAGCCAAACGTTACCAAACTTCACCTGATTATTCCTAAGGGAATCTAGTCCTGGGATTTAATCAATCAACAAACATGGCTATTGTTGCTAAAAATAGAACATAATGCATAATTTATATCTCTAAAACTAAAGCAGATGGAGCAAAACTGACAATTTAAAAAAGTTTTTTGGTTATTATCTTGAAAACTATAGATAAAAAGAAATTTTAAACAGTTAAAATGACCAGAACAATATGATCTACAAATAAACCTTTGCAGAAATCGTCAATAGCCCCTGTGCCCCTGTATTGGACTTGTTGCCTTTGAAAGATGATTTTTACACTTATTTGGCATTTTTTGCGGACACTATAAAAGTGAGAATCTTTTAGTATTAACTATCTTGAGCAAAATTAGATCCACAAATAAGTCAATATGGACGAAATCGAAATTATATGTAGTAGCGCCTTTGAAAGACGTTTTTTTTGCAGAATCTATAATAGATTGAAAGAAATTTTAAAAAGCAAAAACGTCAGTTAGCAAAATAAGATCTACAAGTAAGGCGACGTGGGCGAAATCGCCAACTGAACCCATATAGGAGTTATTATCTTTGAAAGATGATGTTTATCCATGTTTACATAAACCTTGATAGCGAGAGAAGCTGTAAATAGCAAAAATGTTCAGCAAATTAAGTCAAACACGGACAAAATCGTCAATTGTCCCCTAATAGGAATTGTTGTCATTGAAAGATATTTTTATCCATTCTTGCATATTTTGCAGAAACCAGAATAGATAAAGAGAAAGTGTAATTGACAAAGTAAGCCAACAGACTTCTTATAGGAGTTATTGCCCCTGAATGATCATTTCCCCCATGTTATGAATTTTAGCAGATACCATAGATAGAGAGCAAGAATATAAGCAAAATGTTCAGCACAAGTTTTACACATGGTTGAAATCGTCAATTGACTCCTAATTGCCCTTGAAATATGATTTTTACCACTTTTGCTTATGTTGCAGAAATTATAGTACACAGAAAGGAAAAATTAGAAGCAAAATTGTTCAGTACAATAAGATTTACAAATAAAATAATATGCCAGACAATGACCACCAACTCATAATAGGAGTTATTTCCCCCTAGTGATGATTTAACCTTTTTTTTTGCATTATTGTCAATAGTAGAGTGGATAGAGAGAAACTATAAAAAGCAAAGCTTATCATCAAAATAAGATCTACAAGTATTTGTTGCCCTTCAATGCGATTTTTTGTTACGGTATCACATAATTGTGTCCTCGTCCAGAATATGCGTGAAATATTAAACACTGGACGTAAGATTAACAACAATCTGTCATGTAATATGTGAAATCATTGGTACCAGTTGATTGACAATATTTTCGCAAGCGGGGGACTAAGCACTTAGACCGTTCAGAAATTTTAAAATATGTAAAGAAAAATGCCCTCTAGAACCAAATTAATAAAATTTAGGCTTTCGGTGAGTTACTCACCGACTTTTGTTACATAAAGGAAGTATTTTGTAAAGAATTTCTCGTTTCAAAGACAAAGTTTTTTATAAGTACATCTTATATGGAATAGTAACTGCACTTATAATTATATATTAAGTCCTAGGTTGAAACATGTGGTCGAGAACTTGCGATTTGCGATCATATTTTAGCAAATGGGAAAAATAAACAATTGACACGCACCTTATTTATATTTTTCTAACGGGTGGTTAAAATTGAATGTTTTACCAATCGATACGATCTTTTAAATACAAAACTAATCAAACGTTCAGTGTTCTCATTTATCAAATGTAGTCCAAACAAATAATTAAAATGTTTATCGAACTCTTTAGCAATTAGTCAACAAGCTACTTTAATTTCAATGCAATATTCTTCCAGGCACTTTTCTGGAAAATCTCCAGAGACAGTAATTTTATACTAGCACTCATTTTAAAAAAAGAAATTAGAAGAACTAGCCATGGCAGGTTTCGCTGATAAAAAAGCAAGTCTGTGTATTTAATATATTTGCATGTCTACACAGATATTTAAATCTCATATTTCCTTCAACAAAATTTAATCAATAATAACAATATGTCGTCTGCGTAATCAGTAGCAAGAAATGGAAATTCAGGCGGCACTGATTTGTGAAATATGTGAAAATGATCGTAAACTGAAATGGAAGTGCATTGAGTGTGGACGCTTCATGTGTCAAAGATGCCGAGATGTAGTCCATCCAAAATGGCCATCAGCTCAGGATCATACCGTTGTAGATATTAAGGATGTTGGCCGAAAACCAAAATCGACTGGGACTGAACCGCATAAACTGGACTTAAACAAGCTTAAATGTAGTAAACATTCTGGACAAAATTCCTGTCTTTTTTGCAATTCTTGTGATAAGCTTGTGTGCGCAACTTGTGTTGCTAAAACCCACAAGAAACACGACTTGTTAGAAATTAGCGAAGGATATAAAAATCGCATTGAAAGCATTCAAAATGAACAGAAAACAATCGAAAAGAAAATCAAAATCCTACATACAACGACGAAAAAGCTAGACGAAAGGAAGACATATGAGCACTCTACCTACGAGAAGGTTAAACAAGACGTTTTAAACTTTGACAGAGTATTAGTTGAACAGGTCAAACAACGAACAAATCAAATTGTAGCTGAACTTGATCAGAGTCTCAGAACTTTTACAGAACTAGTTGCCAAGGAAGAAAGGGAGGCGAAGAGAAAAGAAAGGACGTTAAAAGAAAAACGGGATGAACTAGTGCGTTTAACGGAAACACGTAATGCTCAGGAGGTGTTCTCTTTCTCAGATGCATTCGAGCCATACGTTGAAGTCAATGTGAAGACTTCATTTCAACATGTGCTAAAGTTCTGTCCGGGAGACTTATCTAACACTGTTCATGCGCATGGTAGGCTGGAAAGTAGTCTTTCACAAGACATAAAATTACAGGTCGTCACTCAATTTACAATTGACACTGAAGCTGTCAATGATCTTGTTTCTTGTCCTGACGGATCATTCTGGGTTTATAACGATGATTCAAGACAAGTACAAAAGGCAATCCCTGACGGTAATACTCTCAAAGTCATGTCGAAGGTAAAACTCGACATGATAGATATGTCTTCTTTTTCGAATGGGGAAATTCTTGCTTCAATTCTTGGCTCGTCAAACCTCGTGTACATACAGCCTGATAAACAAAAAGTACAGAATTCAAACTTCAGTGTCTCCCCATTAGCTACACTTGCCGTTCACGTAACTCGTGACGAAAAGGTTATAGTAGGGGCAGCCGAGAAAGGTGATTGGTTTCCAATTCAAGGACCAAGGCAACTTATCGTAATGGACCAAACAGGGCGTTGGAGAAAACTATTTGAAGTTGACAGCAAAAACAAACCGTTATTTAATGTACCTGTCCGTGTAACTACCAGTAGTGACAGTAATATTGCTGTTATAGACGTTATCTCTGAAGATTTAGTGGGGCGAATCATCGTGCTGGATGAAGGAGGAAAAATTGTTAATATCTATGCTGGAAATCAAGAAATAAATACTGAACATTGCCTTTTCAGACCAATGGACATAGTAACCTCACAGTCGGATAGTTTTGTGATAGCTGAGAGTTATAATTATTTCCTACATATACTTAATAGTAAAGGAAACTTAATGTTGTATTTAGACACTCGAAAGGTGGGAATAGACCAACCAAAATCTCTGGCTGTGGATTATAACGGACACTTTTATATTGGTGTAAAATGTAAACAAAAAGCCAAAATATTTCTCCTGGACAATTTTTAATCTTATATTAAAAAAACCCGGATTTTTTTTATTTTGTTTTAATGATGATTTTCTTGGATAACAAGCAAGAGATGAAATGAGAGGATACCCGGAAATTTCCCTAGATCATACACTGACATTTTACTTTAAGCAGTGAAATCGAATGCCAATCCTTAATTCACAACTTACCAATTATATTGAAATATAGCAAGCTTATCTGTATTTTTATCTTTTAGTCTATCATCAAATTAATGCCCACAAAGATATATTTAAATAACGCACTCTTTCTTTCCCAAACAGAATTAACATTGAAAACCAATGGTTTAAGCCATTGTCTTTGTGTTTACAGTCATGATATAGCCATCACTGGCTTGATTTCTTTTTAAATCCGGAACGGGAAATCGATTGCATTTAATAAATTAAAAAAAAAATGTTTATTTTTTTTCAATTCTTTCATATCTATTTTGCTTTGCCTAATAATAGTATTTAAAGGTGGAATACTTTTTGTCCTTTGTCGTTGATTTTAGTGTTCGTGCTTCGTGCCAATCTAATGAATTGAGCCATTTACAACTGATTTTTAAAGTATGTTCTTAAGTTGTGCTGTTTAACCACTGTCCAAGTGACCTATAACACATCGCATGGTGCTTTACAACAAAATGACCTATAACACACGAAGTGTGTACTTCGTAACGAAGAATGACTTGTAACTCACACAGTGAATTCTATATAAGTAACCCATAATGCTCTACAACACTATGTAAAGGTTCTACACAATCCATAATGACATATGCCACATTGAGTGGGCGATAAATAACCCAAAATGACCTATAACACGCTGGGTGGGTACCATGTTACCAAGAATGACATATAATACACTGGGGAGGTACTGTATAACCCAGATTGACCTATAACACACTGGGTGAACTCTATATAAACCAGAATGACCTATAACATACGGAGTGGTAACTATATAACCCAGAATGACCTATAACACACTGAGTGGATACTATATTACCCAGAATGACATATAACACACTGAGTGAGTACTATATTACCCAGGATGACCTATAACACACTGAGTGGGTACTATATTACCCAGAATGACCTATAACACACTGAGTAAGTACTTTATTACCAAGAATGACCTATAACACACTGAGTGGTTACTATATTACTCAGAATGACCTGTAACACACTGAGTGAGTACTTTATTACCCAGAATGACCTATAACACACTGAGTGGTTATTATATTACTCAGAATGACCTATAACACACTGTGTGGGTATTATATTACCCAGAATGACCTATAACACACTGAGTGAGTAATTTATTACCCAGAATGATCTATAACACACTGAGTGGTTACTATATTACCCAGAATGACCTATAACACTGTGTGGGTACTATATTACCCACAATGACCTATAACACACTGTGTGTGTACTTTATTACCCAGAATGACCTATAACACACTGGATTGATTATATATAAATCAGAATGACTTATAACACACTGAGTGGTTACTATATTACCCAGAATGACCTATAACACACTGAGTGGTTACTATATTACCCAGAATGACATATAACACACTGAGTGGGTACTATATTACCCAGAATGACCTTTAACATACTGAGTGGTTACTATATTACCCAGAATGACCTATAACACACTGAGTGGGTACTATATTACTCAGAATGACCTATAACACACTGAGTGAGTATTTTATTACCCAGAATGACCTATAACACACTGAGTGGGTACTTTATTACCCAGGATGACCTATAACACACTGTGTGTGTACTATATTACCCAGAATGACCTATAACACACTGAGTGGTTACTATATTACTCAGAATGACCTATAACACACTGAGTGGTTACTATATTACCGAGAAAGACCGATAACACACCGAGTGGTTACTATATTACCCAGAATGACCTATAACACACTGAGTGGGTACTATATTACCCAGAATGACATATAACACACTGAGTGGTTACTATATTACCCAGGATGACATATAACACACTGAGTGGTTACTTTATTACCCATAATGACCTATAACACACTGAGAGGGTACTTCATTACCCAGAATGACCTATAACACACTGGATGGATTATATATAAACCAGAATGACCTATAACACACTGAGTGGTTACTATATTACCAAGAATGACCTATAGCACACTGAGTGGTTACTGTATTACCCAGAATGACCTATAACAAACTGGATGGATTATATATAAATCAGAATGACCTATAACACACTGAGTGGTTACTATATTACCCAGGATGACCTATAACACACTGAGTGAGTACTATATTACCTAGAATGACCTATATCACACTGAGTTGGTACTATATTACCCAGGATGACCCTTAACACACTGAGTGGGTACTTTATTACCCAGGATGACCTATAACACACTGTATGGGTACTATATTACCCAGAATGACCTATAACACACTGAGTGGATATGACTGAGGGACAGTGCCTCATATTCTCTCAAAATGCAGGTTTTTGGTGTTGCACAGCACGCCAGCAAAATAACAAGATTGTAGTATAAGTATACACACTTAAATTACTCTAATTCTGCATGCATTTAAATTGGTTCTGACCTGTTTCAAAGTTTGATAAACCACACATTGATTTAATTTGGCTCATGTTATTTCCCTAAATATCTATTTAGAACATGGCAATTGACATTTTTCATGAAATCATAAGAGAAACAGATTCTACTTTATCCTGTTGACTACAATATTTTTCCACTCTTTTAAGTTGAAATTTCAATTTTAAAATGAGAATTTATAGTTTTTAATAAGTTTCTTTTGTTGAAATAATAAAAATCTTACTATTTCATTTACAAAACATCAACACTTTTAAGTTTGGAATTTTAACTTTCTCAAGTGAATAAATATCATAATCAATAGGTTGGTGTGGTATATTTATAAACACAACTTATCAGAAAAATTACATTTTGAAAATAATAAAAGTCACTGCAACATGACTAAGGGACATAGCTTCATATTCAACTTGATTTGTATAGGTAATTCCTTATAATCATTAATCAAAAACTTAGTATTTAAACAGTGAAAAAAATCCAAAATCCCTGATGCATGATTGACCAGACTTAGATACAACAGCATATAATTTATCAATGGAATATCCTAAATCCTTATCTAAAACCCATGTTGACAATAATTGCAAAAAGAAGCACCCATGCCTTGCTTCACTACATTCATCACAACCTGGACAAAAACAGTTCAAACTGGATTAAATATTTATTTAGTTCTTATCTAAAAAATGTTTATACATATAAATAATAAATAGCATATGGTATTTTATCAAATTACTCAAATAATCTGGCTTATAACAAATTACATGTTATCGCAGAGATGGTGCATTTATCATATTCTTTAAACAATAAAAATGGTAACAAATTTACATTAAACCACCATGTATTGTAGCTGATGTTTATATTTAATAAAGTGATAAGAGTGTTAGGCTTTCAATAGCAGTATCAAACAAGAATGTGTCCATAGTACACAGATGCCCCACTTGCACTATCATTTTCTATGTTCAGTGGACCGTGAAATTGGGGTCAAAACTCTAATTTGGCATTAAAATTAGAAAGATCATATCATAGGAAACATGTGTACTAAATTTCAAGATGGACTTCAACTTCATCAAAAACTACCTTGACCAAAAACCTGAAGTGGGACAGACGGACAGACGAACAGACGCACAGACCGAAAAACATAATGCCCCTAGGTGGGGCATAAAAAAGAAAAAGAAAAACATATTATTACAGCAGCAAAATTAATTCATTGGTAATAAAGTTACACTTAAATCTAAGTGCAGTGAGAAAACTGAAAACAGCACCAAACTCATTTACCGGTACATAGAAAATTAACTTAAATTACTTTAAAATGTTACAAATACAGTCTGATTAAAACCAGCCCCACTATCCACTTGCTTTCGCAAGTGGATAGTGGGGGCTGGTTTTAAACAGACTGTTACAAATACGGCAATATCATGTTTCTATGTGATTTCAAGTTTAATATTAAATTTTTCACGATTATCCTTAGAGCTTTATACTACATACAAGTGTTCTTAAAAAGATGATTGAAAGACAATGTACTCTCTGCTTGTTATCTGAGATGAGATATCACAGGTTTAAAATGATTCAATATTTGGAATGTTCTGAGTTCCTCTCTATCAACCTCTTCTGTAACAAGGACCATGCCTTCTCTACCTACAAAAAATAGATAAAAGAAAATTACCTGAATGTCTGACAATTCTCATAGATATTGAAACTTCTATCTTTATCTTATGAAGTTTTTTTTTGACAGGTAAGAAGAAAATATATGAAAGCCAGACATTGGAAAAATTGAAGCTTGTAAGGCACTGTCACCTGTAATCAAATTTCTAATAGTGCAGTATTTTAAGAGCATATCATACAGTAGCAAGGCAGATAATAACATATCCAAATTTTATACACAACATTGTAAATGGTATGCATCCAAAATTCACAAACGTCATCAATTTAGTTACATGAGCTTGAAAGCATGTTCAAATGAAAACAAACTTGCAATATACTTAAGTACACAAAGTCTTTTATGGGGACATAAAATTTTAGGCAAATGAAGTGGGTTTAAACAAGGAATAACTTGAATCTGGAATAATTTTGAATTCTGGAAAATTGGTAAGAAATGTACTGGTATGATGAAAACTAACCCTATTAAAGAGGGTTAGCCATGTGCGCACGGCTAAGGTTAATTATACTTTCACTGATATTTTAATATGAACTAACTAACTGACCCCCCTTAGCCATGCATGTATGTCTAACTCTCCTAAATTTGGTTATATTCAACACTATAATTAGATCTTTGAGTAGTGTTCTTATTGGTATAAATATTGATTTCATTATAAGTAAATTAAAACCATACTAAATAGTATTGTTATACACATATGCACTTTCAAGGTACTACAATCTGTCAATACCTATATTTTGGCATTGCACAAAGTCATGTTTTTCTCTTGACTGTTAATGACGCCTTTACACTAAATCCATTGGATGTTGGATGTGTACTGATTGATATATTAGTCTTAGATGTATGATTTCTTTTATTAACTGTAACTGGCTTTGAACTAGCTGTCAATAACTACGAGTACTCTCAGATCTGTACTTCGTGTCTTTTTTGTTAGGGATGTATAAATACCCTGCCATGTCTAGTCTGTGTTTTTGTTAGAAGCTTTTCTGCTTTGTATCGTTCTAATGAGTTAAGCCATTTTCAACTGATTTTTATAGTTTGTTTTTATGTTTTGCTGTAACACCAGTCCCAGGTTAGGGGAGGGTTGAGCACTCACAAACATGTTTAACCCCGCCACATTCTTTATGTGTCTGTCCCAAGTCAGGAGCCTGTAGTTCAGTGGTTGTCGTTGGTTCATGTCCGTCATATTTGTTTTTCGTAAATTGTTTTGTTACCAATTAGGCCGTTAGTTTCTCAATTGAATTGTTTCATATTTTTCATGTCTGGGACTTTTATAGCCGACTATACGGTATGGGTTTTTCTCATTGTTGAAGGCCACACGGTTGCCTATAATTGCTTACAACCACTTCATTTGAACTTGGGTGGATACTTGTTTCATTGGCAATCATACCACATCTCCTTATTTTTATATTAGTTTCGTCATAGATTTCTTATCAATTTTACAGATTCAAATAATTCCTTGTTTTTACCTTTCTTTCATCCGTAATCTCCAATTAATAACAGTAAATCTTATAATGTTCAGATGTACAGCAGGAATAGCTAAAAGGCGATATTGCAGTAAGAATACATTGAGACATAATTTAGGGCCAAAAAAGGGAAATTGAATCTTAAGCAATTAAAACCTGGGTTTTCTAAAAATAAGCTCATTGCTTTCATGTCGATCCAGCCCCAAGAATGTTACACCAATATTAGGCATACTTCACTTACGTGCTGTCATTAATCTTGGATATTTTTTTTTAAATATGTCATCAAATCCTCCGAAGTTAATATAAATTATTCATTATTTTATTATGGGGCCGAATCGACTTGGGGCAGGATCGACGTGGGCCGGATCAACCTGATACCAGCACATTGACCCCAATTTTGTTCTTTTGCAAATGATTGTGTGCTGCGTGAAGAATGCAATATCAAAACTGAAAATAAAAATCGATGGCAGATTTTTATTCTGTTGTAGCAATAAAAATGTCTACAAGGTATCTTTTACCAATAATTGTATGATTTCAATTTTTTTAGCACATCCAAATTTCATTTTGGAAATCAACTTAAAGTATAAAAATAAGAAGATGTGGTATGATTGCCATTGAGACAACTCTCCACAAGAGACCAAATGACACAGAAATTAACAACTATGGGTCACCTTACGGCCTTCAACAATGAGCAAAGGCCATACCACATAGTCAGCTATACATTAAAGGTATATAAACAATCAAACACTTAGCAAAAAAGCAGGTGAAGAATCTCTTTCCGTTTGAGAGTTATTTTTTCTAGGAAATGTATTGAAATATTAAATGCAGTTTTTTTGCTTTCCTGAAACATGGAAAATCAAACTAAAATATCTCACTTAATATAGTTTCTTGGAATATTTCATAAGTGCATATCAACATTGACTTTGTGTCAAAATTTTCAAACAAATTCAGTGTAATATCTCTTCTGTATTGAATGCCTTTAAGCATCTTATGTTTTAAAAAGTTAAACTGTTTCAAACAAACATATACCTGTGTTTGAGTGTACTCATACTCCCATAGAGTACATAGTACAACATTTGAACTTCGAACCCTCTCCTTGTTGGATAGTTGTGACTTTAACCTTTTGTTTGCTTCCTCTTCTGTCATATTATTTCTGTCCATCATTCTCTTGACTGCCTAGAATAAAGATGAATAGTTTAGCCAATTGGGGCCAGTGAGAATCAATTATGAACACAACTGGTACAAAAAAATGAAAACTGTCCTCGTAATAAACAATCCTTACTGTGTATTTTATCTACTCAATGTACCTGTTTTCAACTTGTTAATGTCTTCATGTAGGCTTTAATTTTTAATGTAAATTACCAAAACTTGTCTGATGATTATTTCATCACTTAGTTTACCAGTTGTTTAGGGCATATGTGATCTTATCACAATACACAAGTTTGTCCGTCATTGAGGGAAATAAAAAATATTTCCTGTTATATTTTTGCATCACAACAGAAAAATGTGATATCAAAAACAACAAAAGGCTCATGAGAGCCTGATATCTCTCACCTGTAATTTCAGTTTCAGGCATTTGACTTATTTGTAGAACTTACTTTGCTGAACAATTTTGTCATTTACACTTTCTCTCTTTCTATAATAATATTAAAGAAAAATACATAACCCAAAACTGTAAAATTTCCTAATTATTAACTATTTCTGGACAGTAATCCAACAATAAGTTGTCATATTGGTCTGAAGATTACTTGACAGGTAGATCTAAACCTGTTTAACACTTTCACCTATGTCAGTTTTGCTCTTACTGCTTTAGTTTTTGACCCCTTTGTTCTATTTTTAGAAACTGCCGCCATGTTTTTCAAATCCCCGAATACAATCTATAAACTAGATACCCTAAGGAACATTCAATTAAAGTTTTTAAGTATTTGGCTAAGTAGTTTCAGAGAAGAAGATTTTTGAAAAAGTAATTAGACTTTCACAAAAAATGTAAAAAAAAAAAATGTTTTAAGGGTAATAACTCCTCAAGGGGTCAATTGACTATTTTGATCATGTTGACTCTTACTTAGCTGTACATTTATTGCCATTTATATTTTCTCTCTATCTATTATAATATTAAAGAAAATAACCTCATATAAAAATAAACTATTTCCAACAGTAACCTAACAATGGGTTGTCGAACTTGTCTGAAAATTTCATAACAGATAGATCATGACCCATTTATCACTTTAACCCCTTTCACTTTTGCTCTAACTGCTGTAGTTTTTGTTGAGCCTGCGACTTTTGTCGCAGAAAGCTCGACATAGGGATAGTGATCCGGTGGCAGCGGCGGCGGTGTTAGCTAACTTCTTAAAAGCTTTATATTTTAAAAGGTGGAAGACCTGGATGCTTCATACTTTGTATATGGATGCCTCATGTTACGAAGTTTTCGTCAGTCACATGTCCAATGTCCTTGACCTCATTTTTATGGTTCAGTGACTACTTGAAAAAAAAGTTAACAGTTTTTGTAATGTTAAATTTTCTCTTATTATAAGTAGTAGGATAACTATATTTGGTATGTGCGTACCTTGCAAGGTCCTCATGCCCGTCAGATAGTTTTCACTTGACCTCGACCTCATTTCATGGATCAGTGAACAAGGTTAAGTTTTGGCGGTCAAGTCCATATCTCAGATACTATAAGCAATAGGTCAAGTATATTTGGTGTATGGAAGGACTGTAAGGTGTACATGTCCAACTAGCAGGTGTCATCTGACCTTGACCTCATTTTCATGGTTCAGTGGTTATAGTTAGGTTTTTGTGTTTTGGTCTGTTTTTCTTATACTGTATGCAATAGGTCTACTATTTGGTGTATGGAATGATTGTAAGGTGTACATGTCTAGCTGGCAGGTGTCATTTGACCTTGACCTCATTTTCATGGTTCAATGGTCAAAGTTAAGATTTTGAGTTTTTGGTCTTTTTTCTAATACTTTATGCAAAAGGTCAACTATATTTGGTGTATGGAAATATTTTATGATCTATATGTCAGTCGTGCTGGTTTTATTTGACCTTGACCTCATTTTCACAGTTCATTGCTCAGTGTTAAGTTTTTGTGTTTTGGTCTGTTTTTCTTAAACTATAAGCAATAGGTCAACTATATTTGTTGTATGGAAGAATTGTTAGCTGTACATGCCTGCCTGGCATGGTTCATCAGACCTTGACCTCGTTTTCATGGTTCATTGGTCAATGTTTAGTTTTCTTGGTTAATGTTAAGTTTATGTGACAGTTGTAATAAAGCTTTATATTAAGGACTATCAACATAATATCAGTGATAAGTAAAGAAGGCGAGACATTTCAGCGTGTGCACTCTTGTGTGAGATATAAGCCAATAAAATGCGCTGCTGGGCGCAGCTTGATACGACCGCAGAGGTCGAACCCTGAACAGTTTGGGCAAGTATGGACACAACATTCAAGCTTGATACAGCTCTGAATTTGAATTGTGATTAAATATTTGACACAGCATAGGTTTCGGACACAGAATGAATGTGGTCTAAGAACTTAAAAAATTTTAATTTACCTATTATGGTCCAATATCCAAAATCTAAATACATGGTTAGATTCAGCATATCAAAGAATCCAAAGAATTCAATTTTGATGAAATCAAACAAAGTTTAATTTTGGACCCTTTTGACCTCAATGTGGACCAATTTGATAACGGGGACCAAAAATCAAAATACATGGTTAGATTCAGCATATCAAAGAACCCCATATATTCAATTTTTGTAGATATCAAAGTTTAATTTTGGACCCCAACTTGGACCAACTTGAAAACTGGGCCCATAATAAAAAATCTAAACACATGTTTAGATTCAGCATATCAAAGAACACCAAGAATTCAATTTTTTGTTAAAATCAAACTAAGTTTAATTTTAGACCCTTTGGAACTTCCTTTATAAATATGCATTTCAGTGTAAGGGAAGTAATCAAAACGTTGTATTTGGATTACCTCTCTTACACTGTTATAAATTGTCTTAATTGTTCATTAACCATTACTTTATACATAATTTAAAAGCAGTGTAAGGGAGGTTATTCAAATGATGTATTTGATTTATCTCCCTTACACTGCTTTAAATTGTGTTTTGTACTGAAGTGTTTGTCCATCAACCAGGACAACCTTGTTTTCCCCCTTTTTGCCCCTAAATCCTAAACAGTTTGAGCCATAACCCCCCAAGGCAAATCCTAACCATCCCTATGTGGTATGGAAACTTGTGGTATAATTTCAGAGAGATCCATACACCGTTCCACAAGTTATTGTCTGGAAACTAGAAAATGCTTATTTTTGGCCCCCTTTTTGGCCCCTAATTCCTTAACTGTTGGTACCATAACCCCCAAAATCAATCCCAACCTTCCTTTTGTGGTATTTCACCTCATGGTAAAATTTCATAGAAATCCATTCACTTAAACTAAAGTTAGAGTGCGAAAACCAATGTGTCTTTGGACGACGACGACGCCAACGTCATACCAATATACGACCGCAAAATTTTTAGTGGTCGTATAAAAACTGCTTTTCTCCCCTATGTTCTATTTTTAGCCATGATGGCCATGTTTGTTGATGGATCAAAACTTCGAATACAATTTATAAACTAGATACCCTAAGGAACATTCAGTTAAAGTTTGGAAGTATTTAGCCCAGTAGTTTCAGAGAAGAAGATTTTTGAAAAAGCAATAGACTTGCATGTAAAAATGTAAAAAAATAAACGTTTCAAGGGCAATAACTCCTTAAGGAGTCATTTGACTATTTTGATCATTTGACTTATTTGTAGATCCTACTTAGCTGAACATTTTTGCCATTTACACTTTCCAAAAGCAGTAAAATTTCATAAAAATAAACTATTTCGGATAGTAACCATACAATGGGTGGTCCAATTGGTCTGAAAATTTCATAGCAGATAGATCTTGACTTGTTCATCACTTTAATTCTTGTCACTTTTTCTCTAACTGATATAGTTTTTGAGATATAAGCCAAAAACTGCATTTGACCCCTATGTTCTATTTTGAGCCATGGCGGCCATGTTTGTTAATGGATCAAAACTTCGGATACAATTCAAAACCAGTTACCCTAAGGAACATTCAGTTAAAGTTTAGAAGTATTAGGTCCAGTAGTTTCAGAGGAGAATATTCTAAATGTCAGCAAACATGATGAACAAATTGTGTAAAAATTGTCTTTAAAGGGCAATAACTCCTTAAGGGTCAATGAAAACTTTGGTCATATCAAACGTTTTTGTTGATCTTACTTTGCTGAACATTTTTGTTGTTTACAGTTTATCTTTATCTTCAATAATATTCAAGATAATAACCAAAAACTGAAAAATTTCTTTAAAATTACCAATTTAGTGGCAGCAACCCAACAAGGGGTTGTTCGATTCATCTGCAAATTTCCGGGCTGATATATCTTGACCTATTGAACATTTTTACTAAGTCATATTTGCTCTAAATGCTTTAGTTTTTGAGATATAAGCCAAAAACTGCATTTGACCCCTATGTTTTATTTTTAGCCATGGCGGCCATGTTTGTTGATGGATCAAAACTTCGGATATAATTTATAAACTAGATACCCTTAGGAACATTCAGTTAAAGTCTGAAGGTATTTGACCCAGTAGTTTCAGAGGAGAAGATTCCTGAAATAGTTTACGACGAGAGATGACAACGACGACAGACGATGGACGACGACGGACGCCAAGTGATGGCATAAGCTCAAATGGGGCCTTTTGGGCCCGGTGAGCTAAAAAGTGATTTGCAAATGTCATTTAGTGAAGATCGGTTATTTGTTGATATGATGATAATTCTATTTAGACCAGAATAAGAATTTTCAGAGTTTCTAATCTCCTCAAGCACTTTTTTTATTATTTCATATGGTCTTTAACAAATGAAATGCCTATCTCAGATGAAATTTTTGTGATCAATTGTTTTTGCAACATAAATTAGTTACTACAACATCTTTTGGACCTTTCTTATGATCTAAGTCTTGATTCCGTTTTTGTTTTCATTTTAAAGACTCTATAATTACCTCCCCTGGTGGAACAACAGATGTCCATACTTCATGTACAAGATTGTTCCAGCCTGCATCTAATAGTAAGGCAGCTTCCAAAATCACAATGTCTTTACCATCTTCAAAATACAACAAAAGTTGAAACAATCAAATAGAATGCATTCATACTGCAATAATAAGCTGTTCCGTTTTTCAGTTTATGTAGGTAGATGATATAAGTATCATTAACTGCAAATTGATGGATGGATGGATACATTGGCATTTAATGTCCAGTGGTAAATATTACATGCATATCAGTAAAGGAACATGTTGATTTGGTATATAATGACCCTTGCTTGTACAAGGTGGACATATCTAAACCAGATTTTTATAAGGCAACAGCCTTCAAAAATACAGCATCCTACCCAAACACCTTATTCTGACTCTAAGCGGACCAGATTTTCCTGTTACTACTAAATGTCAATACTAGCGGAGAAGCAGCATATACAAATTTTCAGGTCTTTGGCTGGCCCTGCTGAGATTCAAACCACAACCTCCAGGACACGAGGCCAACAAGCCCTCACAAAACCAAAGAGACAATTAACTGCAAATTGTACAAGCAAAATATTGATTATTTTTAGACGAAAAAAATAAAAGTAAAGTTAGCTGATAATCTCCATACAATACTGTGGAATATGTACAATCAAAATGTTTACACAAATTGGATACCCTCTATAACAAAACGACTAAGTTGTACAGATGAAAAATTAGGAAATTAAAATCAAATCTGCCCAAAATAGGAGGTACACACATCTTCTATATGTGTGCAATCATATTGCAAAGTTTAAATAATGTTGAAGGAAAACTGTTAAATCTAGGCATAATACAAACTATAGACACCCAATATAGTATTCAATGACAAAAAATGACACACATGAGGAATCCTAGAAAAAATACTTTTATTCCGTCCAAAAAAGGAATGTGTGCAATCAATGTGCAAAGTTTGAGTTGTGTTGAATGAAAACTGTTAAATCTAGCGATGACTATAACAAGCCAACTTCTACTGAAAATTCAGAATTTTTTGCAAGGATTTTATTAATGTGAATAATGTGACTGGATGAGTTTCGCAATAATAAGAACTTGCATTCTAAAATTTGATACATATATCTGTATGCAGCTTTTCCTGAAATTGCAATAATTAATCTCAAATTTTGCTTGATCAGAGTGAAGTGGTAAATAAATCTGCTCTCACCTCTTACAACACAAGTAAAAATATTTCAAAATGTGTTCAATTTTCTGCTATTTACCTAAATTGCACACATTTTTTCAGAGTTACATACATAATGAATTATTCAAATCCACTGGTTTACACTTATATGTTAAGTAATTGACATCTAATAGACCACTTTGATTTTTCTCAGGTTTTTTCTCTTTTGTATTTAGAGATGATGGTGAATATATGCAAACGTTTATGAATAAACAATGATAATGGTTGGACATTTGATGACATATAATGCCAATAGCTTATTTTGGTTGTTTCAACCAGATGAGTGAAATGAAAAAAACGAACATATTATGCTTTATTCTAATATGACATAAGCAACAGCATGATAAAATTCTCAATATAACTTTACTTAGCGCAAACTAAGAGATGTATTTATTAACCTCTGTTACGATTTACCTCCCACGTAAACCCACATGTATCGTAACAAATGTACAAACACTATGTAGATTTTGCTGTATTAGAATTGAAATTAAAACTACAGAACTGTTATTCCTTTTCTAATGCATAACAATAAGAATGAATGCATTAAAGATTGGATAAATGTATAAATTCAAACAAAATAAAATTCTACAAATTTCCATGAATGATATAAGCCCATTCAAAACATGACGTTATACGAATAAAAACTATCAAGCTGAAGGTTATTCTGTTATGTGTATGCTCCAAATTTGGATAATATTGAATTACATGGAGTTTTGAGGAAGATGTTGTTTTATTTTCTATTTCATTGCATTATTTGTACATTCCTTTGTTAAAAAATGTCAACTGTGTTTTTGACGGTAAATAGTAGCCAACAAAAATAACAAATGTTTTGGTTGAGAGCTATAAGAATTGAGCACATTTTTTATAGAGGCTATTTAAGAAATAATTCTTGCAAGCCATACAATTACTGGATTTTTTTTTAGATTTATCTTACAAGGGGTAAAATAGAACAGCAAGACACACAGCACACTTATCTTTGCTTCAGTGTTTTAAATTACTGTATTTCTCTTATTAGAATTGAAAAATTTCATGCAAGCTATAGTTTTGTTTTCATTTTCACATGGCCTGGACCGTTATACAATTGTTCCGGATTAAAAAGTGAAAATAATAATAAATCTGTAGCTTGCATGAATTATTTCGTAAGTAAAGAGTAACAATATATATTGTAATTTTTTGAAAAAAAGTCAATCAACAAAAAAATCTATTACAGACTTTCAGCATGTTTCTTTATCTTGTCTTCTGCAAGTTTCCCTATCTCTGGCCAAACAATTCTGTTGAGTAATTGCAGCTTTTCCTGAAATGATATAATTATAAACAGGTACAAATGAATATATATCTTATGTACAAATTTTTGTCATATAAATTACATAGAAAATAATATCCTTTATAAGAAAGAAACAACATTACATCTATATTTTAGATTTGTTATGTCTGCAGAACATGCCTGTTACTGTAAAAATAATAGATTTGATCAACACAAATGGCACACACAGATAAAGTCTGATATATATTGTACAATACTCCTTGTGAGCCTATTGAATGGAAAAAGAATATTTTCTTCTCCATAGTCAGCTGGCTAGTTTAAAGGATTGATCTTATAAATTTGAAAGCAAATATAAATCTGTTTGAATTGTCCACATTTAAACTCCTCTTAAACAACTGAAAATCAAGCTCATATGTCTTTAAACATGTTCAAGAAATGTAGATTCTACAACTCCATTCAGCATGTTAAGATATTTCTCCATTCGAGACAGTCAAATTTTCATTCTAAAACATGAGGTTTGCCAAGCATTTCAATTTTTTTAAATCTAACTGTCACGAGTGGAAAACTATTGTATAGCATGTGATTCAGTTGTAAATTCTTACCAATGAACAACTGAGATCAAACACATCACACGTTTATTATAAAAATATAATAAACCGGTTTGGTAAAGTATGAATCAGCTAAGAATTAGAGAAACTTATCTTTCAAAGCATGCAAAAAATCAAATTCTGCTTCTCTATGCTGCCATTTTAAGAAGAAATATTTTAAAACACTCCCCCCCTTCCCTTGGCAAAGGGGGCATTCAGGTTTACCCTCATTGGTCTGTACGTGAAATCTGTCCCAAATTGTTTTCTAACTTTACTTTGCCTCAACCAAATGCTATGAAACTTGTACACAATGGTTATTACCATAAAACACAGATCAAGTTCTAATTTGGGTGGCGTCACTTTCACCATTCTTGAGTTATGTCTATTTATAAATGGAAAAATAGATGAATTTGCTGTTTCCGTACTTGCATATTTACAAGCAGTACTGTTTATTATACCTTTTACACTATCCAAGATCACAGGTTCTGCAGGCGGTAAGATATATCATGAATTGCACTTCGGCACTTTTCAAATCATTAATTGATAAGCACTTTTTGAAAACTAGATGTGTCAGAACAACACGAATGGCCCCGCTTGCAAAAAAAAGCTTGAAGCCATTTTTAGGAGTGGAAATTTGAGAATGAAAGTCTGTATAACTATGAAAATTTTCAAAGTCCAAAGCCCGTAATTTCGGTAAAAATCAGCGGAGCAAACTAAACGTAAACATGATCTGTAAATCATCATAGTAGACTCACATAACTAAAAATCAGCTCAATATGTGATGTCGTTTAAAATGAAAAAAATAGTCTGTATAACTATTCGTTGCAGAATGACTGATAAGGGTAAAACAATATGGCTCAAACCACTTTGTGGTGGGGCCATAAAAATCACTTAACCTCTTGACAAGACACTGCAGGTTCTACATCTAAATACATATACAATATTTGTTAATCTCACTGGATTGCTAAATACAATAGATCCTAAAACTCTTCTTTGTATTTCTCCATTTTTACCAACGATTTCATCACCAAACTGTTCTATCAATGTATTGTAACAGGGTGTTCCTTTTAAATACACTTCATGACCTATAAATATATAATGGTATATTCTTATTAGTAATAATCTTTACCTGTATTACTCAGAATTAATTATTTTCATCTCTGAAGTTAAAGCAAAGGGGAATATTGCAAATTAACAGGGAACATTAAACTGACAAGAATTTTATTATTTGTTTGTGTCTGTCAAATTTATCACATCTGTTTACATGTATAGACTAGCAGCAATTTAGAGATTAACAAGTGGTATAGACCTTTTTATTCTGTCAAATTTTGTTGTGTTGTTGGATTGCTGTCTCATTGATTGATGTTACCCAAATTTCATTTAATTTATATATAAATCAAAGCACAGCATAATGAATCAGCACTTCTCTCCAAACAATGATAACTCCAATTAAAATGCTCCGCTGGGCGCAGCTTGATACGACCACAGAGGTCGAACCCTGAACAGTTGGGGTAAGTATGGACACAGCATTCAAGCTTGATACAGCACTGAATTTGCATTGTGATTAAATATTTGACACAGCATAGGTTTTTGACACAGAATGAATGTGGTCTAAGAACTTAAAAATTTTTAATTTACCTATTCAAACCATATTATTATTTGCTTTTATATATAAATCAGAAATAACCAATTTAAAATGGAAAATTTTAAAGACAAAAAAAATCCCTCCCCCAAATTTTTTGAACCCCCTTATGATTCATCACTCCCAAACTCAATCCCAGCCTTCCCTTTGTGGTATGGTACCTTGCAGTACAATTTCAGAGAGATCCATACGCTTGAACACAAGTTATTGTCTGGAAACTAGAAAAATGCATGTTTTTGGCCCCAAATTCCTAAACATTTAGGGCAATTACCCCCAAACTCAAACCCAGCTTTTCCTTTGTGATATGGAACCTTGTAGTACAATTTCATAAAGATCCATACACTTACACACAAGTTATTGTCCTGAAACTAGAAAAATGCTTGTTTTTTGCCCCTTTTGGCCCCTAATTCCTAACATTTTGAGGCAATTACCCCCAAAATCAATCCCAGCCTTTCCTTTGTGGTATGGTACCCTGCAGTACAATTTCAGAGAGATCCATACACTTGAACACAAGTTATTGTCTGGAAACTAGAAAATGCTTGTTTTTAGGCCCCTTTTTGGCCCCAAATTCATAAACATTTAGGGCAATTACCCCAAAACTCAAACCCAGCTTTCCCTTTGTGATATGGAACCTTGTAGTACAATTTCATAAAGATCCATACACTTACACACAAGTTATTGTCCTGAAACTAGAAAAATGCTTGTTTTTTGCCCCTAATTCCTAAAATTTTGAGGCAATTACCCCCAAAATCAATCCCAGCATTCCCTTTGTGATATGGAACCTTGTGGTACAATGTCGGAGAGATCCATACACTAACACACAAGTTATGTCTGGAAGTTACAAAAATGCTTATTTTTGGCCCCTTTTTGGCCCCTAATTCCTTAACTTTTGGTACCATTACCCCCAAAATCAATCCCAACCTTCCTTTTGTGGTATTGAACCTTATGGTAAAATTTCATAGAGATCCATTCACTTAAACTAAAGTTAGAGTGCGAAAACCAATGTGTCTTCGGACGACGACGACGACGACGCCAACATCATACCAATATACGACCAAAAAATTTTTGTGGTCGTATAAAAATTCACATAGTCTGTTATATGATATACCAGCACCAAGCTTCTACAACATTTCACTGTATAAATATCTTTTTTCTGATTTGTATCTCACTTATCAACAGTGCTCACTTTGATCACCTTAATGTATCTTCCTCATCAGAGTACATACTGTGGATTCATTATTTTTCTTTCGAAACCAATTTTCCTGGAATTTGTGGGTATAAGTAAACCTCAAATTTAAATGTTAAACAAAGTGCAATTTTTCAGTAGGCTTCGGCAAAACCATGAAATCTTATATGCACGAGATTACAATTTTTCATCAATCCTCGGAGATTGGTATGCACAAAAAATAAATGAATTCACAGTACTTCCCTATTTATATCTTCCTAATGAGATAAGGCAAGCTTCCTTCTTTTTATCTCCCATATCAGACAGGGCATAGCCATACACTTCCCTATTTGTTATCTCCCTTATCAGAGAGGGCATCGCCATACACTTCCCTATGTGTATCTCCCTTATCAGAGAGGGCATAGCCATACACTTCCCTATTTGTTATCTCCCTTATCAGACAGGGCATCGCCATACATTTCCCTTTTTTTATCTCCCTTATCAGAGAGGGCATCACCATACACTTTCCTATGTGTATCTCCCTTATCAGAGAGGGCATAGCCATACACTTCCCTATTTGTTATCTCCCTTATCAGACATGGCATAGCCATACACTTCCCTATTTGTTATTGCCCTTATCAGACAGGGCATCGCCATACATTTCCCTTTTTTTATCTCCCTTATCAGAGAGGGCATCACCATACACTTCCCTATGTGTATCTCACTTATCAGAGAGGGCATAGCCATACACTTCCCTATTTGTTATCTCCCTTATCAGACAGGGCATCGCCATACACTTCCCTTTTTTATCTCCCTTATCAGAGAGGGCATCACCATACACTTCCCTATGTGTATCTCCCTTATCAGACAGGGCATCGCCATACACTTCCCTTTATTATCTCCCTTATCAGACAGGGCATCACCATACACTTCCCTATGTGTATCTCCCTTATCAGAGAGGGCATAGCCATACACTTCCCTATTTGTTATCTCCCTTATCAGACATGGCATAGCCATACACTTCCCTATTTTTTATCTCCCTTATCAGACAGGGCATCGCCATACACTTCCCTATTTGTTATCTCCCTTATCAGACATGGCATAGCAATACACTTCCCTATTTTTTATCTCCCTTATCAGAGAGGGCATCACCATACACTTCCCTATTTGTTATTGCCCTTATCAGACAGGGCATAGCCATACACTTCCCTATGTGTATCTCACCTATCAGAGAGGGCATAGCCATACACTTCCCTATTTGTTATCTCCCTTATCAGACAGGGCATCGCCATACACTTCCCTTTTTTTATCTCCCTTATCAGAGAGGGCATCACCATACACTTCCCTATGTGTATCTCCCTTATCAGAGAGGGTATCACCATACACTTCCCTATGTGTATCTCCCTTATCAGAGAGGGCATAGCCATACACTTTCCTATTTGTTATACCATTTTATTACCTAATTTGTCACAGTCCACTATACCAGCACCTAGTTTCTCTAACCTTCCACACAATGCTGACTTCCCACTAGCTATACCTCCTGTCAACCCTATTACATAGGGAGAGCCAGGTGTATTTTTGTTTGGCTGAAAAAATATATACTATTTCAAATTCCACAAAGTATTGAATATATTTCTGTCAACAAAATTGTTGCAATAATTATAGTTTTTTCTAACTTGACCTTCCAAAGAAATTCAAATCTCATCTTTACACAATTTTTGGCAGTGTCCATGGAAACAACAAAATTCAGTATCACTTAATTAATTCACTGATGTTGTACTGACTTGTACAAAACTTTGTATATGTATATTTGCATATAGAAAAATTAACTTTGTAAGAGACCTTGATCTTGAGATGACATTCCAACCTATACAGAGAAGCATGCTACTGTACCTCAAAATGTTGCAAAGTAAAATAAATGTACCTTAGTTGGATTGATAACACTCCCTAACTGAACTTTTTTTTATTATAAATAAAATAAGTAGATGTGGAGTATTCATTAATAAGCAGCAATCAACAACACAATAAAATCAAAGAAGACATACCTTGATAGGATTGATAACAGTTCCAAGCAGCCTCTTTCTCGATGATGATGAACTAATTTTTTCCTCTTCATATTGATTATGACATGAATCTACAACTAGTTCTATCACATGCTGCTTCAGAACAGAAAATCCCTGAAATAAACAAAACTAATGTATATTGCCACTAACTCTGTTAGAAAAAAAACCTAAAATATCTTTTGGGCAAAAGTCAATTAGATCATTTCCGGGTTCTAATAAAAAGGTCAGGTAAAAATTGTATATATATCAATTATAGAAACAGAAAATACACATTTTCAGTACACAGGCAATAGTTGTGCATAAGGATAAAAATAAATTATCCAAGGAAAAAATAAGCAGTGCTAGTACATGTAGCAGGTGAAAATAAATATTCCATTGGCAAAAAAATCCACCTTGCAACACACAGAAAATCAAATGGTGGTCCCCTAATTATTAACATGAAATGTTAATATTAAAACATTTGTTAAACTCTTTCTAAAAGGACTGTTTTTGAATCCAGGTGTTTGACCTACTTCTTTACAACATTCCAAATGATGATAAAAAAAAAAATGAGTGGCATTATATATATATCTACCTTCTTCTGTCTTTCTTCATTGACTATTTCTCCTCCTCTCTTTGTTTCTTCACTGACTACAATAAACTGAAGGTCTGGATCAGAGATTGTCGGACCAAACATGTCATTGATTGCCACAACTTTATGTTCAATGCATGGCTTGATATCCTGCAGAAAGTCTACAACACCCTCAATTCTCTTTTCTGTTGGAGTTATCAGTTCACATAATGTCTTTTCTGGAAAAAAATAATGTAAAAAAAAATTTCACTGGAGTTAGTCTCTAACAGTATACAAGTAACTCAATAAAGTATTTCTCCTTGTACATTGTTGTAAGTGGTGTACCCGTTTACGGGACGTATTATGGTATACCGTTGACCGTCTGTCCGTCCATCCGTCGTCAACATATCGGACATTAACTCAAAAATGCTTTAACCAATATGCATGAAACTTTGGTGAATTGTTTATATCTATTGACATGAGCTCCTTTTCGTTTTTTATAAATTTCGAATTTACCGTTTCAGAGTTTTGGGTTTTTTTTCATTTAAAAAAGGGGGGATTTTCCAGTTTGTGAACAATAATTCAAAAACAATTTCACCAATTTGCAAGAAACTTTCGTGAATTGTTTATTTCTATCGACATGAGATCCCTTTTGATTTTTATAAATTTTAGACCATACGTTTCCGATTTATGGAGTTTTATTCATTACAAAAAGGGGGATTTTCCAGTTTTCGGACAATAACTCAAAAATGCTTCAGCATTTTTTATGAAACTTTGGTGAATTGTTTATATCTATTTAGTATTGATGTAAGCTCCCTTTAGAATTTTATAAATTTTAGATTTTACATCTGAGTTATAGGGTTTTATCCATTAAAATAGGGGGGATTTTCCAGTTTTTGGACAATAACTCAAAAACAATTTCACCAATTTGCAAGAAACTTTGATGAATTGTTAATTTCTATCGACATGAGCTCCCTTTTGATTTTTTAAAAATTTTAGACTATACGTTTCCAATTTATGGGGTTTTATTCATTACAAAAAGGGGGATTTTCCAGTTTTCGGACAATAACTCAAGCATTTTTATGAAACTTTGGTAAATTGTTTATATCTATTGTTGTAAGCTCCCTTTTGATTTTTATAAATTTAAGATTTTATGTTTCCGAGTTATAAGATTTTATTCATAAAAAAAGGATTGATTTTCAAGTTTTTGGACAATATCCTTAAAGTGCTTAGAGCAGTTTTCATTAAACTTTGATGACTGATTTATATCTATTAAGATAACCTCCCTTTAGTATTTTATAAATTTCTGATATAACATTGAGAAGTTATTGTTTGTTTATAGTCTGACAACATATTTACTAAGTATTGCGCAACAGCACAGTGTATTGCACAACAGCAAGAAATCTTTAATTGAATATAAATTCAATTCATATAACCAATTTCAAGTTCTTTGACTACATTTATTCAGAAACCTATAATATGTCAAATATTTAATTACAATCCAAATTCAGACCTGTATCAAGCTTGAATATTGTGTCCATTTTTGCCAGGGTTGGACCTCTGCGGGCGTATCCAGCTGCGTTCAGCGAAGCAGTTTATTAATTGTGCAATCATCATGAAGTACAATATATGTTAAGTTATAGTTTTATTCCATATTCAAATAAAGCCAAATGCATATAAGGAATAACATAATATGGCAAAAATATAGATGTCAGGAATTAGGAAATAAAAAAATCTTACAAGTTATTTGTTACTAAAGATTTTTCTGCTACATTGATTTGAATGTTCTCAGATATGTATCCTATACAAAAATATATTAGGTTTTAGCACATATATAATGTATGTTTGTTTGAACAGAGTGAATTTAGGATATAAAATTTATATAAAATATATTTATTTACTTTTTAAAAATGCTAGAAGTTAAATGAACAGAGAATATGCAGGCATTGTAATTCACATTTGTGAGTTCATTGCCGAAGTCAAGTATTTAAAATCTTTCATAATGACATCAGTGCTGCATAAGTGCAATTGATAAAGACAATAGAAAAACATTTCAGGAAATAAATAAAAAGTATTTCAATAACTCATCTAGTAAGTGTTGTTACTTGGAATACAATAATGTATTAGTATCCCTCTTCAGCCTACTGATGATTATTTTCCTATATAGTCTTAATTTCCTACTTTGATTCATATTTTCATCTGTAACTCCAACTGTTATCTGTCTTTCTGCCAGAAAACATCCTTCACTCAGCATTATTTTATGACCTGCATGTAAACGGTCAAAGGTTCCACCAAGAACAACATTATCAAAGGATTCAACTTTATCATCCTCTATCATACTGGTTTGACGGTCAGCAGGTATGCTTAATGTGTGTATTTCTGCTGGTCCTTTTAATCCATCTTTCATTAAGCTTGCTAACGATTCTGATTTATTTTGAAATGCATCAGCAATGAATTGATTGTCTATCAGTACAATATCACATGGTCTTTTAAAATCAAATTTTAAATTCCTTTCTACTTGCAAATTTGTTACATGGCTCAGTATTATTCTGACATCTAAATTACTGCATAGTGAAGCACTAGAAGAGTATAACTGTGTCATTAGAAATCTGAAGTCTTTAGAACAAGGCACATTCTGGATTTTGAATGTATGTGAACTGGATGATGGCTGAATATGAACATAGAGTGTATTGGATACAACTGTTGCAGCTTCCTCCAAAACAGATTGAACTGCTGATTTTAAAACAGGAAATGGTCTTGTCAGAATTAAAAGTCCTGTTTTATACATTATTAAAACCTGTAATAAAAATCAAAACTTTAGCATAAAGAAAGGAGATGTAGGGTATTCATCATTAACATATCAACTAGTGGAAGATCCAGGATTTTCAGAAACAGAGGCCTGAAGGGCCCACCAAAATAGGAGGTGACGGACAGTAAAAAATCTGAAAATTACCTCCCCCCAAAAATTGATTGATTATATTTTGAAAAGCAATTGATCATATATGGAGTCTCAACTCTGTCAGGTCTCCTCCTTAAAATCATCTCTTCAAAATGAAAACAGAAGATTAAAGTCAACAGCAGTGGTAGGATTGACACTCACAAAAATGTACCTCATCTTTCAATTTCTTAACACAAATTGTTCAGTGTCTTCATAAATGACATTTTTTGTTTGTGTTAACAACAGCCCTCTTATAATTATTCAAATGACAATACTTCATCTGCTCGCAGCCATAATTTTGACTCATTTCCAAGAAAACTGCTGGACAAAAAACTGTGGAAGAAAATATCAAGGAATAACAACTATTTAAAAAGCATTCTGGCAATTAGTGTCCAATGTAACAATAACTCTTTTGTTATTGTTACGTTTCAACGTAATTGTAGCCAGTACCTATTTCATATGGGTTATATAGTGGAAATTTAATTTTACCCTATTGAGCAAACATTAAACAATAGAATAGGTTAAAATTCTATTAGAGAATTGCTTTTCATAAATGCTTTCAAAATATCGAATAAAAATAGGGGGTTACAGCCTTACAGGCTTTATTTTCTTAATAAAAGGCCCTAATTTTTTTATAGTTTAATCTTTAAATGGCTATATCCTGATTTTACCCCCACCGGGGTAGAATGTCATATCAGCAATCCAGGCAATGAATATTCGTGATGGAGTAATATTTTGAATAAAGGAAAGATTTCAGTGGTCCGGTTTTATATTATTTATATATATATAATCTATATATAAACAAGTCTAAATTGAAAACAACGTTCAAACCTATGATTACGTTGGATAAAAACCGCAATTTTTATACGTGTGCATGCAAAACAAATTTCTTGGTAGAGGGGTCTAAATACAGCACAAACAACATATAACTGTTCCTGAATCTACCCCGTAAATTATAAGTCAGTGTTTTAAGAAATTTACGGGGCAGAATCAGGAACAGTTATATAAGACAGTGTTTTAAGAAATTTACGGGGTAGAATCAGGAACAGTTATATAAGACAGTGTTTTAAGAAATTTACAGGGTAGAATCAGGAACAGTTATATAAAACAGTGTTTTAAGTAATTTACGGGGTAGAATCAGGAACAACTATATAAGACAGTGTTTTAAGAAATTTATGGGGTAGAATCAGGAACAGTTATATATGAGACAGTGTTTTAAGAAATTTACGGGGTAGAATCAGGAACAGTTATATGAGACAGTGTTTATAGTAATTTACAGGGTAGAATCAGGAACAGTTATATAAGACAGTGTTTTAAGAAATTTACGGGGTAGAATCAGGAACAGATATATAAGACAGTGTTTTAAGTAATTTACGGGGTAGAATCAGGAACAGTTATATAAGACAGTGTTTCTAGTAATTTACGGGGTAGAATCAGGAACAGTTATATAAGACAGTGTTTTAAGAAATTTACGGGGTAGAATCAGGAACAGTTATATAAGACAGTGTTTTAAGAAATTTACGGGGTAGAATCAGGAACAGTTATATAAGACAGTGTTTCTAGTAATTTACGGGGTAGAATCAGGAACAGTTATATAAGACAGTGTTTTAAGAAATTTACGGGGTAGAATCAGGAACAGTTATATAAGACAGTGTTTTAAGAAATTTACGGGGTAGAATCAGGAACAGTTATATAAGACAGTGTTTTAAGTAATTTACGGGGTAGAATCAGGAACAGTTATATAAGACAATGTTTTAAATAATTTATGGGGTAGAATCAGGAACAGTTATATAAGACAGTGTTTATAGTAATTTACGGGGTAGAATCAGGAACAGTTATATATGACAGTGTTAAGAAATTTACGGGGTAGAATCAGGAACAGTTATATAAGACAGTGTTTCTAGTAATTCACGGGGTAGAATCAGGAACAGTTATATAAGACAGTGTTTTTAGTAATTTACGGGTAGAATCAGGAACAGTTATATAAGACAGTGTTTTAAAAAGGAAGGAGGATATTTTGTTGTAAAATAAATTATTTTTGTGAAAAAATTATTTAATTTATTTTCTTTCACACATATACCCAAGCGTCTGAAAGGGTTTTCTTTGGGGTTATATTTAGGAAAAAAAGGGGCTAGGATTTTTTATATATATTTATATATAAATAAAAGATTTTTTTGGGGGAAATGAAAAAATAATGTCAATTAGAATATAGTAGGGAGATTAAATTTTTTTACTACTCAATACAAAATAAAGAAGTAAAAATAGTTTGAAGTTGAGATGTAATTCAAAACAAAATCTTTCTTTTATTCATCTTGAATACTTTTTGTAAAAAGTTTGGAAAGTGGACATTTTAATTTTTTTTTATAGAAAATGCTTTGTTTGATGTGTTTACGATGTTTTAAACATGTCTCTATGAAAAGCTTTATGCACAATACATCGTTTGAACAAGGTCCCAGTTAGCTTCAACTGGTTTGAAAAATTGTGGAATTTTAGAACTTATCCGGAAAGGAATAAATAGCGATAAGGTAAAATATTTTTAAACACAAAAGTTGTAACATGCCCAGAAGGGTTGCTCAGAAAAGGCAGAAAATGACACCCGATCCACCTAAATACGCATTTTTTTAAAAATACAAATTTTTAGTAGATATACCTATATTTTAAACCCTGAGATACATTTGAAACTCTAAACAAGTTTGATATAATATATCAGTAAAGGTCAACATTTGGCACATTGGCAAGGGACACAATTCTGCAAGATGATAAGAGTTGTGATACAAACCCGGGTCCGGACCAGAAAAGAACACGAAACACCGGTATGTGCACGGTGACGACAAAAAATTTCGGGAATTTTAAATCAACAAATAATTCTGCAGAAAAATCAACTGTGCAAAAACAATGTCATAGCAACATGAGATACGCACGATGTAGTTTGACATGCACAGTGACTTTGAGCTGAAAAAAAGCAAAAAAGCGATGTTCCTTTGCTCTCTGTGTTGTTTTGTTGTTGCTTTGCTCATACTGATTTTGTATCCGTCATGGATGGATACCCCATACCCTTTCTTTTCTATAATTGTAGTCAAAGTGCAAATCGTTATACGATACAAATACAAATATTTTATTAGCACAAACTCATCAACAATAAATGGTTAAGGCTCATGGCATATTAATTATATAATAGATCATACGTAATAAGTGTTGTAAACAATGACTATATTAATATGTAATATTATAAACAATGACTATGAATTAAAGACATATTGACAATTCTATAGAGTTTGCTCAGCTTTACGCAGGTTCAAACTGTCTGAAATGAAAGAGGAAGTCAATCTGAGGATTGTATATGAATTGTTATTCTTCTTCTTCTTCCAAGTAAGGAACCGAATTCATTTTGAATGTGTATGGTCCCGCGAAAACTTAGCGCAGTGCCGGGCAAGGCAACAAGTCTTCTCAAGGTTATTTACATTTAAAACGTTCGCCAATTTACAATTAAAATTATGTACACGCTATGCTGTTTACTTCCTTCCAGATCCTGCTTTCAGAGCAGCTCTGAATCCCTCTATCGAGTCAGTCGATGTTGTTTTAGCTGGAAGTTGATTCCAATCCCTGATGGTCTTTGGGAAGAATGACTGTCCATAGGTGTCGGTTTTTGTTCTCTCTTGGTAGAAGCGGCCTATACCTCTGGTCCGGCTGTCGTTGGGTATTAGATATTGTTGTCTATCTATATCGATTAGCCCGTGCTGGATTTTAAATAGCATACATAGTCTGTTGGTTTTCCTACGTTCTTCCAGGCTTTCCCACTGTAATTGTTTAACCATGTGTGTTACACAGCCAGGTGTTCGGTCTGAGTAGTTATTATGAACAAATCTTGCTGCTCTTTTTTGAACTTGTTCTAATGATTTGATCTTTTTTTGGCTCGATGGATCCCAAACTGTGCAGGCATATTCCACTGAAGGTCTTACCATGGCTGTATATGCTGCTGCTTTTACTGGTTTTGTGCAGTCTTTCAGATTTCTTCGGATAAATCCCAATGTTTTATTTCCTTTGCCTACAATATTATCAATGTGTCTATCCCAGGATAGGTTGTTGCTGATAGTTACGCCTAAGTATTTGCTTGCATCAACATTGTCTAGTGTGTGTCCGTGGAGTTTATATGATGTATCTCTCACTTCTTTGTTCTTCTGCGTTATTCTGATAACTATGCATTTTTTGGCGTTAAAACTCATTTGCCATTTATTCTCCCATTCTTCCAATGATGTTAAGTCTTTTTGCAAAAGGTCGCTGTCTGTCTGGTTGTTTATTGTTCTAAAAAGTAGGCTATCGTCTGCAAAAAGTTTTGTTTCAGATGACGTTGATGTTTCTGGCATGTCATTTATGTAGGTTAGAAACAATAGAGGTCCAAGAACTGTGCCTTGGGGGACGCCTGATAGTACCGGGACTTGAGAGGAGACAGCTCCTTCTAATATTACGCTTTGCATTCTGTTTTGAAGGAATGATTGAATCCATTTTGTAGCTTTAGGGTTTACTCCATAAAATTCTAGTTTGTGTAAAAGGCGGTGGTGCGGTACTTTGTCGAATGCCTTTGCAAAGTTTTTTAGTTATTTAGTTAAAAAGTATACGTGCCGCGCAGCTTGAATTGCCAGATCAATGATATTTTGTATAATGTTGCATTACTATCAGTATGACTCAGTTTGTTGACCATAATGGCATTTCTAACTCCCTGCCCACCAGATCATGGTCCACGGCGACTTAGAATTAATAAGCAATGTTGCTGTCTATCAGATTGTCTTTTCCTGAATTTTATGTGGACAGGCGAGACATATCTCTGTGTCAACAGTTTATTAATATTTCAATTTGTAAAAGATAACAAAAGTAGCATTTTTCACCAAACTTAAACATATTCTGTCGTTAATTTTTATTTCAATTCATGAAACTGTGATTCTTCCCTATATATTCAATATAAACTATATCTTCAGAGAAAATCAGAAAAAAAATCTGTCATCAATTTCTTATATCCCCGAACTACCTTAAAAACCAGATGTCTTCAAGGAATGCCAACATTCAGAATACAATAGGTGTTTTGATAGTAATTAATTACTTGATAACAGGTCAATTTCATAATTTTACAGTTAGAACTTAATAATTTGTATACCTATTTAAATGTGCAATAAAATTACAATATGTTCTACACATGGAAAATAATATTTCATGCTTTAAAAGATGAATAAGTACAAAATATACATCTATGTTTTTTTCACATTTTTTATCAAAACATTATTCAAATCATCCAGTATGTTTATTTTAACTTACTTTTTACATTTTATCTAAAAATTATGTCCTTTTACCATTCAAACTAACTCTTCAGTTTGCATTCTTGTTATTTTTTTTATTCAGTTGGCAGAAATAAACGTCCATTGGCAGAAATGTCCTAGGCAAAAAAGTCCTGACTGAAACGTCCGTCCACCGAATTTAGAACCCTTAAAAGGGTCTTATGTCCTATGGTAGTTTTAAAAATCCACATTGCGACCTGAGGGGGGTACCCTCCTGGAGTCCCATCCATATTTTGCTTTTTTAATGCCTGAACTTGTCTCGATTCCGCAAACATGCCTTCATCATAATATGCAGTCCCTTCTTAGTTTTATTGAATAGTTCATCTTCCGGAATAGGGTCGCTATTCTACCCATTCAGTATCTGGATTAGACTACTTTTATTTTATCTGATTCAAGACTTTTACAAAATCATTAGCATACACATGCAAAATATTAAACGAAGGCACACCACAACTCATATATTATATTCCTATATGCGTTAGGTTTTTTTTTAAACTTTCCTTGGCTTTTAAGGGTATCTTTTTTTCAACTCGGGCACATTATGGGTACGTTGCATAGGAATATATGAGCGGTGGTGTGCCTTCAACAGGGGCAGATCCAGGAGGGGGCTTAAGGGGAGTACACCCACTCTTTAGTTGAAAAAAAACATGAAAAATACGTCATATTTTAGTTAAAATTGTGCAAAAATACACATTTTTCCGCCTTGTACATTTTTGAGACAAAACATCATATTTTCCCTAAAATCGAGCACAAAACAGTAAAAAAATTCAAATATTTTTTCATTTCGCTATGCTCGGGTACACAATTTAGGATTTACGCCCCCACTGTGAGGCAATACCTCTTTCTGTTAACCTGTTTTGGGCATATTTTGGCTGTTGTTAATGGTTCTTTTGCATCTAATTTTTACTGTTAACTGTTTTTTTCTAAGTGAATTTAGATGTTAACCTTTAAGTTTGTTGTTAACCTGTTAACGGTCCCCTATTCTCCCTTTTGTCTTCCCTCTTTAATAGTTTGCATGTGTATACCAATGATTTTGTTAACTTGAAGTCTCGAATCAGACAGTTGAAGTAGATTTGATTTTGAAAGAAATTCTAAGTTGTATGAAAGCAAAATTATTTAAGGAATGCAAATTCGGTATATCATGGCTTTCATAAGACTGTGCCTATTCCATACCTGTCTTAGGTCTATCGGCTTTGTAGCCAGAATTTACGGAAACATTCGTCGTCGTGTCTCTGGCAAGTCTTGACATGGATGCCACTACCAGTGATGATTCAAGCTGCTCAACAGATTCATCATCTAATTCTCCTCTCCCATTTTCCAGTTTAGTTGATTCATCTCTAATCAGGATTTCAACTTGGAAATTATTTGATAAAGCTAACCCGTCAATCCTTAGCAAAATCTGATTGAGTACATTCTTTCTTTCGGCCATATTTTTTTATTCTTTATTTTTAACAGGGAGGAGTTATTTAAAAGGAAAAAAAAACAAGTCAAAACTCTTTAGTGATGAAGATTTTAATTTGTAACTCTGAAAGTTGATTTTTTAATATTAAAAAATGGTTTTTTAATTTTAGAAAATGATTTCTTAATATTAAAAAACGAATTTCTAATATTAAAAATTCATTTATTAATATTAGAAAATGAATTTCGAATATAAGAAAATACTTTCGAATTTCTAATATTAGAAAATTAATTTCTAATATTAAAAAATAAATTTCTAATATTAAAAAATTAATTTCTAATATTAAAAAATGAATTTCTAATATTGATAAATGATTTTTTAATATTAGCAATCGCTTTTTTAATATTAAAAAATGATTTTAAACTGAGTTTTACTGTGCGTATTGCTGTGTGTTTGTTTAATCTACATTGGCTAGAGGTATAGGAGGAGGGTTGAGATCTCACAAAACATGTTTAACCCCGCCGCATAAATGCGCCTGTACCAAGTCAGGAGCCTCTGGCCTTTGTTATTCTTATATGTTTTTTTAATTTTAGTTCATTTATATGTTTTGGAGTTTAGTATGACGTCCATTTTCACTTAACTAGTACACATTTTTTTAGGGGCCAGCTGAAGCACGCCTCCGGCTGTTTTTTGCTCTTTGGTCGGGTTGTTGTCTCTTTGACACATTCCCCATTTTCATTCTCAATTTTAATCTTAGAATTGCCGATGAGGTTGAATAGTACTTTTTATTTTAAAAGCATATACGAGATACAAACACATAATCGCAGAAACATTAATTTGCTTATAAATTTGAAACGTTTAAATAAAGAATATGAAGGTCTTTCAATTTGATGTCTAAAAGACATTATTATAGCGTCCCGAGCCAACAACGTTCAAAAAGTACGAAAATCGTTCAGTGGACAGACTTGCAGGACATTGGATTTGTTAAAAAACGATAAAACAAACTATCATAAAGTACATAATTGTTTTAAAGCGCGTTCAAATACAGTTACAAAAAAAGCACTATGTTATATACTTGAAATTTAATATTTCAATCTGATCACAGGCACGTGTCTCTGAAAAAAACCCAACCCCTATATACTTTAAAGTTATATTAAAGTAAAGGTAATTTTTTTCAGAGACAAGTGCCTGTGTCATTGATGTCGAAACTGGCACTGTTACGCGGAAAAAAACCCGCCGAAATTCGACATTGGACATTCTTGCAAGACATTAACTTACTACCGTTACGTTTTTATTTGTGAAGTGAGTGTGGTAAACAAAAAACGGTTTTGAAATGATCTATCTTTGTACTTTATTAATTATTGTTTTCAAAACGAAATAACAGATTACCATATGTTAAAAAAAAACACCCATAAATTTTGACAAATTAACGCTTTCTGAAATCTGACCATGGTGAAAACTATTCTTTTTTGCCAAAAATCAGCTCGGCTTTGTGTATGCGGATCAGTTCAACTGCTCATACGAAGCATGATTTATTGTCGACTGCTTGGGCTTCATCAAGTTAGATCTCAAATAGTAAACAACGTTACACCTGTACTGTATGTCTCTTTGTCTGATCTAGTTCACTTAAAAAATACAAAATATTCTTTTAGGTAGGTACACCATCTTGGATATTCCGCAGGTCAGGATTACACGGTTTTTCAAAAAATATTTACTTTTGTAGCGCCTACTATATGAGTCAGCCTCCTAGACTAATTCAAGACTGAAAGTATTTTTTTCTCAACTCAAGTGCACTTATCAAGTCCTTGAATCATGTGCCCCGTACGCCCGTTTCAGTGTCGCTGTTCAGCATGCAAGTGAGTTTTTCCATGACTTCCATGTTTGCAATCCTGCTTGCTTAACTCTATTATTCTTCTTTATATGCTTCATATGCCTTTTAATAGTGCTCATATACCAGTATGTTTTTCTAGTTTCATTTCAATTATTTTTCTTGCCATATGATACCTCAGCTGTCGCTTATTCAGTTAGCTGTTCCTTATGAGAATACAAATATACTACATGCTATATTTTCTCCCTTAGGACTAAAAAAAAAATCCCATAGGAGAAAAAAATATTTCCTACAGGACATTTTTTAATCCTATAGGATATGTTTTCCAACAAATGATAATCCCGGAGGATAAAGTTAAAATATGGGTGGCCAATGATACAGCACTGCTTTAACAGTCTGGATGCCACAAGTATGTAGTGATCTGTTATATTAATTTGTATGTATCTTATGTGCATGCTTTGTTTTTATTATTTTTTGTATACATGTACGTTTTTATAATCAATCAAAAGCTCATCAGAGATTGCGTTCATACCGAATTTAAATAAAGCTTTCCATGTCTATGTCTATGTAAAGTATCTTGTATCTTGTATGAGGTTGCTTATAGGAAGTAAATTATTTGTATGTTTGTAGTTTGAGTAATATCTGTAGGCATATTTTTCTTTCATCATCACATCTTAATGTTGACAATTTGTAAAGATTAAGATTTATTTAAACCCCAAGGTACGAATACAAAATCACCTCCGTCACCGATTTGATTCAGAAAGTACGTGTACCAACCTCGATTTCAAAATTAACAATGATTAGTGCCCTGATTTCCGTTGGAAGTGGTTACCTTTAACCTAGACTGCTTAAAGTTTATAAGTGGTTCTCAGATAGTATTAATAGTGATTTTTTTAAGCAATACTTAACTACCTATTTATCTTTGTAATATGGAAGTAATTTAAAACAACACATAGAATTATTCTGCTGGTCAGTGCTCATGAAATGAATGGAATGTGAAGAATTTCAGTGCTATTTTTGATTTGTGTATTTCAAATATTTAAATTTCTCACTACAAACTGTGAAGGCACAAAAGGAAAAGCCACCTGGTGTGTAAACGTATTGCTTGCATTATGTGATATAACTTTTGAAACTACATCGAAAATAAAAACTTGAGAACAATGATGTTGAATGGGTATAACCATCATTACCATAATAGTGTTTCAGGGTTTAGTCCACCAGGGAAAGAAAAATACCAACCTAATACTAACATTAAAACACATAGTCTCAGTGATGTTTATACTGTTGTCGAGGATATAGGAAGGTAGGTTTATATTAGATGAATTTTATCCACTTTACCACTAATTTTATATTATGTACTATTTACATACAAGCATTAACAGATTCACTTAAAAAGATGCATTTTGTAGCATGAATGCCTACAAGTTCTTATATAATATCACCGTGTAAAAAAGCCTATTTAGGATTCTACACGTACTAATACAGATACAGATAATCTATGATAGTATTTTTTTGATATATTTCTAAAAACATGCCTACAATGTATCTTGTGTTAATACACGTAAGAATTCATATTTAAAAAACAACTGATCAAATTTTCTGTTTTTTGTTTCAAACATTTATAAAAGTGAAATTATGAATAAACATTTTGCTATTCGCAGTCAGTTTGGTTCAATTTCGTCAATTATAAGCTAAAAAAAATTATTCCTTTAGACGTAAATCAATGATTTACATATATTTTTAACCTATAAAATGAAATCTGACAGACATAGAAAAATCCAACTGCACATGCTCGCTACAAATGTATCTTAATATTTATGTTTATATCAGGTATTTCAGGATATACATGTATGACTGTCGGCAGTCTTCAGAGTCATCATGATAGATAATTAGACTACCTCTGTTCATGTGGCACATTCATTAAACAGAAAAGAATGTCAACATTGAAAATTGAATCAAGGTGCCACCGAAAAAACATTTCTTTTACTGATCCAGCCCACAAAAATTATTCTTATACAGGTAAAACGATGTTTTACATATATTTTTATCCTAAATCCTAAATGACATTAAAAAGACCTAGAAAAATCCAACTGCACGTGCTCGCTATCTTTACTAAAAGAACTGAAATTTTAAGGTCCTTTATTCTTAGAAGGTCCCAATTTAAATGTACTTGAAAATTAAATTTACAAAAACAGAAAATGCTTACCATTCCAAGAAACTCCTCATGTCTTACTACATCAAACTCATGTTTTTTTTTCTGAACTTCTAAAATAAATTCATAATCAGACGAGGCTTCTTTTTCCAAGCACTATAGGCTGTGTTAAATAACACCTTGTAACATTTTAATTATTCTGGTTTAAATTGCTGCTTAAGAACACACTGGACTAACTTTGTGTCAGAGAACAGCTCAACTTTGTTTTCAAACTTGGGTCAGCTTCTTTCAACCACTGTGTTTTACAAGATACATGTAGATGCTTGGAGGTAGTTTCATGATTATTTTTATACTAGGTTTATAGATTTTATTCAAAATGGTATTGTAATTTTTTGAACCTGCAAAATACAAAAGTCAGTCTGGTGTAGCTAACTACCGGAAGGAGGGTCTGAATCCGAAAATGGAAGGTCACAGACCTTGGACCACCGCTAATTTGAACCCCTGGTTCATGGTGTTACGTATTTAGAATTTTTAAATTGCACCCCTTCAAGCCCTTTCCATTTGATTATCACATCATTTTTAAGGCAAGATTAAAACATTAATTAGATGAATATTGCTTGTGATCTTTTGTTAATTACATTTATTTTATCTTTTTTTATTATAGGGGCATTAGCCTGTCAAATTCATGTTCACTGATTTGACTCAAATTTTCAACACATATTTTGATTTATAACATACAAAAACGTATACGTATATCCAAATTCTACAAAGTCTAAAATAAACAATTTACGATGCATGATGATGGACTCAATAATATGTATTAGCATTTCATGTGTATTTTTAGTCTTAGACACCATCTAATTAACCATTTAGGTGACCTTCGAAAACTGCAGACAGTCATATAACCCGATATAAACATTAATATAGATATAAATAGATAGCGAACATGACATTTCGTTTTTTCTAGGTCTGTTTGATTTCATATTATAGCTTAAAAAAATAAATTTAATCATCGTTTTTACCTGTATAAGAATGAGTTTTTTTTTGATTGAATCAGTCAACCAAATGTTTATCCTTTTTGCTTCACTTTCAATGTTGACATTCTTTTCCTCTTAAGGTAGATGGGGTGTCTAAATTATAATCCATAGAATTTTTTAATAATTTGCCAAAATGTAGTTTATATCATGCTTTTTAAAAAAAAATAATAAAAAGAATGGGTCACCGGGCTTATTTTCACGCTACAGGTTTTGCAAAATTGACAGATTTTGTATAGATTATGCATGGAAAACCCAATTTTCTGTCATAAAATGAAAACTACACCATAGAATTTTGAGATAAAATATGAGAAGATAGCTCTAATAGTATGCTTTCAGATAAGAAAAAGAAAAAATGGGGTCACGGGACCCTTTTTTTGGCTACATAATAAAATAGGTAAATTCCTAACACATTCTATTGTAAAAGTAACTTAATCTGAATTATCTGCCCTTACATTTGAGTTGCCTCCCCTTGTGTGGCAAAGTTGGAAAAAATAGAATTAAACAAACGTATTTGGTTTTTTTGTAAAATACAACTATCAATATGATAAAATATGTCATTTTCTATATTGAAATGAAAATTCTTACACATGAATTACGTACTACTCTCAAAATTTGCACCTTTTATTAAAGATCTAGACCGATTGTTTTCTGGTATTTCAAAATCCAAGATGGAGGAAGACACCCTATCTACCTTAATAGCTGAACATGCCTAGTTTATGCCTAACCCATCTCTAACTATGGATTATATTGAAGGTCACATGAATATGGATTCAATGAGGTCGAATTATTCACTCGCAAGTGAATAATTTATCAGCAATGTTTCTTAGTTTATTTTGGCAAAATTGAATCAAACTGGCTGCTAAAAGCAAATTATTATTTCACTAATTCATTGTCATTAATGATTGAAAAAAAAAAATCATATTTTAATATTTGTTATATCTTGTAGCTAATTATATACCCTTTTAACACCATACAAATGTATATTAAATGTATTACAGTTTGATTTATTCCTATAAAACAGTCTTTATGGAGGAGCTTCTCAAGACGGTTGAAAATTAGTTTATTCTTTCTTTTAACTTGATATTGCCCTAGCTATCTATCTGCTCCCTTTTCACTGAGCATCAATCTGTCTCATTGAACTTGACTTTGATTGCTCCCTTAATCTTCTTACTTTTTTTTGCATTTACATTGTAAAACAAAAAATCAGTGACTTGTGAAGTGTGACGCTTGTTCAACTGCTACATGTACATTGTACATGGAGAGTCATAGGGAAAAAGAATTCTTTTAGGATTCTATTTATCATTTCGTAATACATGAACCATTTAAAATATAATCTCTACAAGCCTTACGTTGAAGTTTCAGAATTCACAAGGTTTCTCTGTTGATTCACCTAGGCCTGTAGATGGAAATTGACCAAATACTTGCAATTTATTGTGAACATGGTGTAATAAATCTATTAAAGGATTAACAGTATACCATTAACTTTATGTCAATACCAATACTGCTACATGTATGTATTGGCCATTGTTGAATGAATGGATTACCATCTTAGTTTAATCTAATTGATTTACAGCATGATACATTAGTAATATTAAACTGAGACTTTGTATTGTACATGTATATTGAAATTGATGTATAGATGTAATATATAGTGCCTTAGACATTTACAATGTAGAGGTACATGTATGGTTTCACAGTAAAATTTTAATTGTTATGATTATATCAGTAATGTATTTGTAAAACCTCCAAACAAATTCGTTTTTCTTGTTCCTAGTCTTTTCTCAGGTTCTAGGCAACAATATGAGTTACTTCAAAAGTTGTAATTTATTTGGGAATTTTGGAGTTTCTCATTGACTGACCTACATGTAGCTGCATGTATACATAAGAGTATTATTGATCATACAGTATAACTTTTTTATACAAATGTACCTATAAATTCATATTGTATTTTCATACACTACACAGTATACCACACATGTATGTACATGTACAAATTGTATCTGTATTCTGTTCTAAGCAAGAATGAATTTCTGGAAAAAGTATTGACCATAATGACATTATTATTATTAATGTAATAATTTTTTTGAAATTTGAAATATGGATTGTGCGATTAAAGATTCGATCAGTAATCAGTTGGTAAATTAGCTGGAGGGACATATTTTTACATATTACAAGATCTATAATTATCATGAAAAATCTGTCACCCATAACATCAAGCCATAACAGCAAGCCATAACATCAAGAGTTGTTATAACTACTGGATGTACATTGTATTTTAGATGTTCTTGAAATTAGCTGAGGAAGAAATGATGTTTTCATTATCTTTTTTGTATTGTAGTTTATGTTTCCTTATTACATGTAGATTTTAAGTGCAATTGTTTTTGTACATTTTATGTAAGGGAATTTTACTAGGGTTCTCATCAAAATAACTGGGCCCATAATTTTCTTAAAAATTGAGTCTCAGGCTTCACCAACAAAGGGTTCTCACTAATTAATATAAGGAGTTTTGAAGTTATATATAACTTATTAATTCAGTTTCTTTGACAAAATAGAGCAAGGAAATGATATTAAATTAGATTATATTAAAAATTTTGTTATAAAAAGATAATAAATGTGCTCACTCAGTAATATAACATTTTACAATCTTGATGCATCCTGGGACTCACCAGTTTTGAAAATGAAGAGTCTGGGACTCATGGACTTGCCGTAGTGAAAACCCTGGCCTGCGAGAAGAAAAAGAAGATGAGTAAAAGTTATGATCATATTTCTATAAATTATGTCAGAACTGTGGACTCATCACTTTTGGTGACCAGTCACTGTACGTTATAACAAAAATGACAAGTCCAGACTCATCCGACACATTCTAATGAAAACCCTGGGACTGGATTAGTATGTTAATTGATAACATTTCTGTCCTGCCTGCACATACATGTATTGTGCTGAATCTGATGAAATCCAAAGGACTCAATGAAAGATAAGGTTGAAGTCGACTACAAGACTAAATATTAATACATACAATATTTATTAAATACTGTAGCATTAATTATGAGGGCTACATGTACAAATGTATATGTATGTTTGAGCTAATAGAGACATAGCTATAAATCTGCCATG